TTTAGAAATGTTTGAAAAATTCCCTATGTGATGAAAAAAGACCTATAATCTAGTAATAATAACCAGAAATCTTATAAATTAAGGACTATGAATATAGAAGTTTATGGTACAAAACAACCTCTTGTTTTGTACCACAAACTTCTAAATTCCTAATTCAACTTCATCATTGTGCTAGGACAAACATCGACATAAAATACTTATAACTTGCAGAACGTTTATTATTTTGGTAAATTAGACAAGGTAGCTATTATAAAGGAATCCTACATGTAATAATATGATTGATAGTTTATCATCTTCCTGATCAGAAATAACAGTTGCCCATTTTTGAAACCATGGTGTTTTAATTAAACAGATCTCATAATAGCTTCTGCCTTCATCTGCCATGGCAGATGCATAGCAGAACCATGGTCCTTGTCGTAGTCAACTTGATTATGATTCGGATTAGCACCCTTTTTGAATGGACGAAGATTATTTTTGATTTGATATAGAACTATTCATGAATATTTACCATGAGGTCTCAAATGCAATGCAAAAATAGTCACAACTCCTAAAAAGCTCATTTTTTCTGAAAACTTGCTTTAAGATGTACATATGTATACTCCCTGAAAATACACAATTACGGATTTAACCTATCTAATAGGTATTAGTCACTAATGTATTTTAATCTTAAAATGTGTTTTATTGTAGGTAAAATCCATGATCTCGTAGTGCCATCTTATAGATTGCGAGTGCTACCTACGAGCACGTTAAAAAGTTTAACTTCTTCATGACATAAAATTATAAGAAGCACATCGAATAGATCTATTTTAAGTTCCCTAAACATTATTATTGAAAAGTACCTACCTATCTAACTCAGATGTGGAAGAAATCTTCATTGATTACACTACTAACGAGCTACAGACCAATAAAGCGAGAAAAAGGATAACTTGTTATCTCTGTCGAGGTCATGGGATAACTAAATATATTTACCCGTAGTTATCCGTCGAGCGCAGGCTTTGTACTCTCTACATAGATACATACAAGTCATCCAGTCTCGGCGAAGAGTTCTTGGAAAGCAGGCCGCATACCACGCAGTGCGCTGCCATTGGACCGCCTGTGCTTGCTCCCGACGAGTGCCATAGAGGAGAAGCCACAGAACCGAACATTGAGAAAAATAAACTTAATTTCTACAAAAATAATGATTAAACTTTACTTCATAATATATGAAACATAGAAAATATAATAAACCAAAGTTCTTTTCGAATTTATCTTATTGGTTATTTATTTCCATATAGTCTGGTTTCCTCACTGTAGTAAGTGCTTCGGCATGGATAAGAAATGGATAAAATAACTAATATCCAAGTAATAAATATTTATACAAATTGATTAATATTATTCCACAGTACCATACTTTCTACTTCTATTCTAGAGGAAAGATTTCAAATCTTTCTTTAAGCCGTAGACTTTTGATTGTATGGGCTCCGAAACCACTGGACTAATAAATAAATAAATTATATAGATTTTGCAGTTTAAAAGAAATCATAAAAGATACCAACACAAGTGTATTAGTTTAAATTTCTTAACTTTTATAGCATCCATTATATCGAAAAAATCAAGCTTTTGACCAACTCACTGCTCTTTCGCAGAAACAGGTGGTACTCATTCTCGTAGTCTATGAATAAAAAAATATAAAATATGTAATTAAAAACATATTGACATTTCTACATGTAACAGAAAATAACACCTACAAAATAGTCCCTTAAGGAGGAGTATAGTATTTACGAAAAATTACACCATTCACTCAACGTCAAGACAAAACGAAGCCGTATGCCCGTTTTCACTAAACTTAGAAGCCACCGAGATCTGGCGACTAAGTATTTAGGAATCTCCTAAGATGAAAATGCATACCATTAAAATGACGAGGAACCACCTAATGACCATAAGAAATGTCTAAAGTTATGACGTTGTGTTACATTTATTTGGAATTAAACTAATCTGCTTAGATGATACGTACATACGTAAGATAAGGCGTCTCCTACTTAAGCTATGCCTTGTTCTAGGTTAGTGAAAACTGGTTTTAAATTGCATTGTAAAGTTACTAAAGCTAAAATACAAAGCTTTCCCTTGAAGTTTTTGAATTTTTTGAAAACATTCGTCATTTACGACCAAAAATATCGGTAAATGCCAGTTCTACATATACTCCGATATTTAGTCTGTGGCATTGTTAAAGTCACGATGCGAACGCCGCCGCAGGCTCCGCGCCGGTCGCGACGAGGCGAGTTCATTCATTAAAATATGCATTTATTACCAGCGTGCGTCTGCGCATGCCGCATTACCGCCCCGTCCGCGTCCTCAGCCCTCTTCTATTACAATACCAATTCATAAAGTAGAAGGACATTTTATTCATACTGACTGATGTTGAAAAGTACAATTGTGTTATGTAGTATTGATTCAAATATGTATTGTTTAATTATTCAATTGATTACTCGACTGTTTTGAAGAAAGTATTTTTAAAGTTTCATATGATCATGCTTAGAAACTATCAAGTTTATTTTATCGAATTAGTGATATTAAATAAAAGAAAAACATATTTTTATTAATTAATTTAAAACTCGCGAAAAAAATCACGTTACATGTCGACCAATTACGTCACATTTCATTAAATATAAGTACTAGTTGTAATCGCAATAAAGATGTTTACGTTTATTTTATTGAATTGTAACGTCATACGAGGCTCTTAAATTTATATACGTAGAGCGCTGAAGGTATATCTTTTCTTTACTCTTAATATATTAACGTTTAAAATCAAATGAAGGAACACAATCTGTTTAACCTGACGTGCTATTGGCTGTATTAGTAGGTAAACATATTTCCATTTCCTAAGTACCTGCAAATAATATTTTAAATAGTTTTTTTTTAACTTTACATTAAATTAAAATTTCTTCTAAATTATTTTTGATAAACTTTTCAATATCAATGCTTATCAAGAGATGATTTGCATATTACAAATAAGCGCATGAAGGTGGAAGGAAATGTAAAGAGAGAATGAAAGACCGCAAGAAGGATGGGCGACTAGGTATATAAATGAGAGATGTCTAACAAATGAGTGAATGTTAAGATAATGGGTGATTCAGTACATATTATGCCTTTCCATCCACCCTAAAACAAATGATAATAAAAAGACTATCATAATTGAAGGTATTTAATATTTATATGATATTAAAGACTAATATTTATCCAACCTAGAATAATGTTGCTAATTCAACATTCTTTGGAAATTATAATTATTGCGCTGACGTACGAAAAGAGAATTTGATTAAGTATAATACCTATTCAAATCGGTTTTTTAACTGTGAGGGTGAAACTGGAGCGGAGGAAGGGATGACGACGACAGCTGCTAAGCACGTGGAACGGCAGATGTGAGTTGACGTCTGCGCACGAGCAAGCTGCGCGGACACACCTGCGCGCTGCCAAAAAGTTTTTTCTAACCACCTACCTCAGTGAATACCAGCGCCTTCAATTAACATCTGCCGAAGGTATAATTTTTAAGATACCAAAAATAAAGTTCTTTGTTCCATCTCTGACGATTGTAGGTACTTAATTCTCCTGTATCCTCATCAATTTACCACTTTATTATTTTTTTTAAGAAAATCAATGAATGTAGGTAAGTATTATAATTGACTACTTGACAGCTATAACAATAAATAATGAAATCATTGGAAATGGAAATAGCAATATTTTTAATGTCGTGAAATTCTGTGGATTAAAAGAGCTGAACGCGAGCGGCCATGACGAAGCATCTTATGACGTCACATTTCAATAAACTAAACGTCTACGTCTTTGTTGTGAATGTAACCAATCAAGTACTCATATTTATTTAAATAGGACGCCACATCTAGAAATATCACGTGACTAAATGTTTTCACGGTAAACTTTAAATTCACGAGGGGAAAATTTAATTAATGGAAATAAATGTTCTTATCCTTCATTTTATGTGAGCATACGACTTTTATTTTTTTTTCCCAAAACTTTCAAGAAGCCAACTAGAAAAAATCTTAGAGATAGGTTTAGACATTGTTTTTCGGGCTTAGATAATATTTTTATTTATATCTATGCAAAATTAATTTCTATTACTGTTCTTAAATTAAACAGAACCCATAATTAAATGACCATTATACCTATAATAAAAAATCATTAATTTAACGGGGATGTCATTATTCTAACACCTTTACGTTAATAGATGTCATTAATCTATTAACGTAAAGGTTATTAATCTATTAACGTAACGTAAAGGCATTCGTCAATCTAAAAAGTATGGTTAGTTAAAAAACAGAAACTTTAATATGCATTTTATTTTTTTATGAAAATTGAAATCACAATTTCGATTCACTTATCTTGAAGAAAATTGATCCAGAAAAAACCAATAATCTCATGTTCTATTCCGGACAGAAAAATAATTTAATACACTCATTTTGAGGAATCGCCGAGATAGTAGTTCCATTTTCAAAAACAAAATATTCTTAACTAAATTAATACTATTAGTCTCCTTGGTCTCAAAATAAAAAAAAAAACTTTTCCCCTAGTTTCAATTTTGACTTTAGTACGCTACAATTACGGACTTTTTGAGCAAGAGAAGTGAGAGATTATTTTTTGCAATACTACCCTACTCCAGGCTGTAATCTGAAACTATAAATAAATCAAGAACAAACGACATCGGCACATTTGGATCAGTAATTTCATACATAATAATAACTATAAAATAAACTTATTAAACTTGGTGAATTACACGATGATCCAACGATGTGTGAAGCATCTCTCGCCAGACTGTGATAATATGAGTAATACATTCTCATCTCATATTAGAGAATCAATGGAATTAAAACTATGCAGTTATGAAGGTAAGTGTTACCATGAAGTCAATGCTGTGATGATTATTATTGCACCATATCATTGAATGACTAGGTTAGCTACATCCACCTACGTAGGTACTCATTTACGTAACATTTAATGGCGATACCTATCTCAATCTAGACTGGGTGTAGCATTATAGCCACATCGCCGCTCGCGACACCACATACTCGAAGTAAAATAATATTCGGTGTCAGTGTACAAAGTGAACAAATAAAAAAAGATTATCTTTATTACGAAAACTATCTTTATGTAATCTAATCTTTGCGTTTATATAAGGACAACGTCAAATTTTCCCTTTTGTTTCCTTTCATTTCGTAACTTCAGCTGTGAACAGAAGTGTTTCTGTAGACTTTCTATATATTTATAAAAAAAGTGAAAACGATGATATCTTTCCAAAAATATAGGTAAATAATTTTGTGGAATGGATGAAAAAGTACTTTCAGTGAACAGCTGTAAAAATGAAAATATCCTGGAAAATGCAACTGCTAGTACATCCACAGGTAATAGGACCACATATCTATTATTTATTACTATGTAAAATATAATCCACCTACGTACTATTCTATTACTTTTAGGAATATATAATTCCTAGGTATAATTCGAACGAATCAACATGACACCTGACTACTTATTCTGTTTACCCTCGAATGAATAATTGGGAATTTTCGAACCGTTCTTTTAATTTTGTTAAAATGATATCCATGAACATTATCTGTGCCTCAGAGGCTACAGGTTATTTGTATCAAACATTATCGAAAATTCGTTTTTTGGAATTGTATTAGCATTTAAAAAGACGAAATTTCATTTGTTAAAAAATAAAATAGGCCTTCACGTGATATTTTGTGACATATAGTTGACTCATTTAAATTGATTTAAAAAAAAGCGGTAAAAATATGTATAAATATAATCTAATTTCTGAATGCACATAAGCAAAATTATTTTTTATGCAGAGTTCTATTTACTATCAATCAAAATAGATACCCTATAAGTGTACCGCAATGATATTAAAAACTGATTACCATAACTAGGTATGATAAAGCAAATAACGTTATGGGAATTATATGGGGTTTACTGTTAAGAGAATAGATTTTGAAGTCTCATTATTAGATGGAACGATTTATATTATATACTGCAAACTGCAAATAATAATGTAGCACTAAAAAAGCTGCTCTGCTGCTGTGTACCTACCACGTGTACACAGTGTGGTTCGAAACAGCTGTTATATTAATGCACTATCTTGGCGCCTATTACACGTATCTATAAAGTCTAATTTATTGAAATATTAACGCTGTACGTTAGTGTTGCCAGTAATTATTTTTATATTCAATTTCATTATCGTGTATGGTTCTTTATATCAAGTTATATTTTCTGTACCGTTTTTATCTTTTTCCTTTGCTTCTTAAACTTATCAGAAATATATTAAATAGATATATATATATGTATACCTAATTTCTATTTAATACTGTATTATTTAATCTTAAGTGTTAAATGTAGTCGCGACACATTATAAGGCGAAACATATTTTTCTTATCAAAATAATTATTGTGATAAAACTGCCGAAGCGGGTATTTATTTGTAAGAGCTCTGGTAAGCCTCATTCAGTCAGGCGCCTCGACGCGCTGCTAGTCGCCCAACTGTTTCGTTTCGTTCACTCTTTCATTCGCAACTGACAGTTTTCGAACGTCAGCGCTGGCTGGCGTGACGTAACACTCGGCACGAAAAGCAGACGTCGACGGTCGTTCGCAAGTCTCGTTTACGTTCGGTAGTGTGGCAGTGGTTTAACTTTGGATTGTTCCGCTCCCCCAAGGAATTTTGTCCTAGGATTTTTACTAGTGTGAGTGATAAACAGTTAAAATACAGTGCAATCACACTGGATGTATATCAAGTATATTGCAGTGGATCTTATTGCCCCATAGTCCAGAAAAGGATGGATTCATTAAGAGGTGAAATTCTACAATGTTTTCCATATGATTTTAATTTAGAATGACGTAGGCCGTAGATGTACAGCCGTCATGGTACCCATTAGCTGTCTGCTTTATTTATTTGTTTTTGTAAATAGTGAACATGCTACTTTCGTACTTAAAACACATTTCAACTAAGTGCTACTTTCATAGGGACAAGAAATAAATGATTTTTCAAAACATCTGCTTCTAGTTAAAAATATTCACTCCATGTCACAAATTATGTATTTGATAAGTAGACTACTAATTTTCAAAATTGATTTTAGTTTATTTCTATCTCATTTTATTGTAACCTACAAGACACATCTAATAACAATATCTGTTCACTTATATTATGTTTCCTGTAAGTACAATGTATGATTCATTATAGTGACTTTAACATATTTCCAAGTAGTTTATAGGGTTTAAAAGTGTTATTGATTGACCTTTGGTACATATCATTATTACCATACTGTATACTGACCACTTATCCTTATTTTAGTCATTAACTAATTAACTATGTAGACTAGAATTATTCTAATGATCCTTTTTATAAATTCAGAATTCATCTATACACTGTAGTTTTTAATGGTAATGGCTCTAACTAAATATGGCCTTGGAGCTTACCTAGAGGGGCCTCTTTTATATAGATTTGGAAACATGACATCACAATGACTATGTAGTTCTCTAGTATGCTATATAGTACTGAATAAAATTACTAAAACAATTGTTTATTTTGCATTCGCTATACTATTATATTTGCAATGCTATACTGATAAATATTTATGAAAAATGCTTAAAAAATCAACCCCGTCAGGTACCCCGATATGTGATGGGGATTGTTGGATTTTTAAAGTATTTTCCATTTAAAACAATTATACTCTGTATGTAATTATACTGATACTTTTAAAAAGAACAATAGTGTGATTAAGTTACAACTATAGTTTTGCAAAGTAATGTGCATGAAATGAAAACATAATTATTCCATATCATTCTATGTGAACATTATTCAGCTGCGAGCCTCATACTTTTCCTCTTCGCTTACGTGTGCAGTGTTATTTCAATAGATATTGGGATTGGTAAATTAAGTGGTTGTAAGACAGCTAGCGCCATCTGTTGACAGAGATAGCAAACATCACCCGCCAAATAAATCAATAAATTACTTGTTATTGACAATCATTATTGAAAAATAAACTACTAACTAGAAAATTCCCACTTTTCGCCAAATGAGAGCAGTCCTATGGGGGATTAAATTAAATAAACATAATTAGTTGATTTTGCAGTATTACAGAAAATAAAATACATATTTTTATTATTAACACTACTTATATGCCAATTTTTATGCCGCCTTTTAACTTGTTACATATTAAATTGTTATTTTCGTTCAATAGATGGATTTGATTTGATAATAGCAGGTAGCAATGTAGTGGTTGTAAGACAGCCAGCGCCATCTGTTGACAAATATATCAAACGTCACCATCCAAATAAATTTATTAATTACATGTCAACTTTCTTATTTAAAAAATAAACTAATAACTAAGAAATTCCCACTTGACTCCAAATGAGGGCAATCCTATATAATATAATTATCTACTTATCCATATATTTTTTATAGGTTTTTTTTTACCGTTTAACAGAAAAAAAACTTATAATTAGCATTACCCTACATCATGATGAGTATTTTTTAATGTCGCTTTTAAGTTTGTTTCGTAATTATTGTTATTTTGGTCAATATGACGGATTTCATTTGATAATAGAAAATACACCTACCTAACTTTACAAAATGTAAAATTATAACATTCAGGGTATGTCTATAGTAAGTATATGAACCGATTTAGGGTTGCGCTAATGAAAACTCTGTATGCGTATTATTATCATGTATATTGTTGATGCTTACCATCTGCCGGATGCACGCTTCCGTTGACACCATTTCCGGGATATCCCCGAGTTATTTTTTCAGCTTTTGTTAGAGCGAGTCCAGTTTGTTTAGGTTAAAAGCAACAAGCATATTCATTCACGGTTCCTTTATGAATTACTAAACTTTTTAACTCTTATTTGACGATATCCTGATATGATCTTTATTTTTTTGATTCAACAGTTTTAATGTTTTTGCTATAACCATAAAATGTAAATAGCTGAAACTGCATGAACTCATTATCTCGCATAACAGTCTAGCGCGTAGGCGCTACAGGCGAGGCATTGGAATTCGAAAGCCGAGCGCCCCGACCACCCAAAGGCATGAGAACATGGCTCCGTCCCCTTCCCCACGCTCAGGGCGCCGCCTCTTACCGCTCTCTTTAAGCCTTATCCTGAATTTCATTTGTTCTATGATATTATTGTTAAGGTTAAATATACCTACATTAAACAACGATTTAATACCTAGAGTAGAAAATCAACCTATAGATTAATAATTAAAAGATATATATTGGTAGTTAATATTCACCAGCAAATAACTTCAGGAGTAATAAAAATAAATTAATTGTTAATTTATTCAACTTTCACTTGGTCACCTAATATTGTCTTATAAGAAATTTAACACAAACGTGATGCACCCAAGTACTGTCCGCATTCCATGCAACTACTTTTGTCTACTTTTTTATTTGATCTAAAGCCCGCCCTGCTGTACTGCCACATTCCACAGGCCCTTTTTTACGCTGTGTGGTCGCGGTTTCCGCTGAAGACGGCAACGTCGCGTCTCAGATATGAATGAAATCCGGTGGACGACGGTGTACGGGACGGCAACGTTGCCTTAGACGTTCGTCTGATTGAGAATACGTCTCCCACATCGTCCCCTCAGTCGTCTCTCATTTATGAAATAATATGCATAAAAGTGATCTGTAAAATTAATAACAACATTGCTGGTTTTAATTTTTAAAGCTTTGTAAACCAACTGGATTATATTTTTCGAGCGTATTATGTTATTTGTTAGGCTCACTCTATCTGTAAATTTAACTAAAACAACTGTGATATTTGAATTCAATATGAATAAGCATAATTATAAATTCCAACAAAGACTGAATAAGATAATGGATAAAAAATAAATAATCTTTCAAAAATGCTAGGTTTGTAGGCAAACTAAAAGTGTCGCAAACTAACTGTGACATATGACTGCACTCTATCCAACAATAAAAATGTAATAATAACAAAAATGGCAATGGTATACAGCTGGGCTCCCCAATAGGCAATTTCAAACCCTCTTTTAAAACTACGCACGCATGCGCCAAAGGGTCGAAGTTAGTCGTCATCAGGAGTTACGACAAACGAGTAGCCAACGATGCCCGAATTCATACGAACGCCATTTTTTGAGTCTAGAAAAAAGGAGTGTTTAATTCAAAAAGTGATTCGACTTAGTGCAATGTGTATACTAAGTGTTACCTAAGTGGTATATGCAAAATCCATCAAAATGCCGTTGTTAGTGGATTGCAAAAATAAAAATGGTAAATATCGATCGTGTCCCAGATTGCGGCCATTGTCCAAAACGTAACGTAGGCCTATCTGAAGTTTTATTTATATAGGTATCTCTTAGGGAACCGTTAATTTAAGAAATCAATTGACATTATCTATATTATAATAACGAAACAACACTGCTTTTATAGTATTTCATGATAGTATTATTTGTAAACTGGCTGTAACTATTCAGTCACAAAATGGAAAAGACGCAGTATTATACTTTAATATAGATTTATTTTGAATAAGTTTTATTTTACCGAAATAGTTCATAAACCTATTTAAATTAAGAATGGAATATTTAGCATTAATGATAAAAATAAATATATTTCTTAGTGTCATAAATTTATATAAATGTTTGACCATACTTCGGTATGGGAGTAAGAAAATTGATTGTGGCCTTGGGTGCATGCGCACTTAAAGAGGGGAATGACGCGGGGAACAAGGGGGACCGGTGGGAATGGAATGTGGATGACGCAGCCAACCCGACCGGCCGCGGACTTGTTGTTATGTGAAGCTGTTTTCGAACTCGCATTGTAGTTTCTATATTACATACATTAATTTATATTTTAATATTTTATGAAATTGGCCTTCTTGGCAAAACTCATCCACGATTTTAGGGTATACGAAAGTAGACACATCAGTAACTTTTATTTCTTTCTTTTGCAGTGGCCACCAATGCTCCAGTTCCATTGGCCGAACAAGTTATGTCTATATTGAAAAATAAGGCATTACCACCACCATCAGCAACTTCAACAGACGATAAAACTGATAATCGTGATACATTTTTTTACTCCGTTGCCGATTTACGCCACGAAGAAGAGCGACTGAAAACTTTCGAAAAATGGCCTCTCACTTTTCTTTCGCCAGAATTACTGGCACGCAACGGTTTCTATTACCTAGGTCGAAGCGACGAAGTTCGATGTGCTTTTTGCAAAGTTGAAATCATGCGTTGGGAAGAAGGCGACGATCCCGCTGAAGATCATAAACGTTGGGCGCCTCAATGTCCGTTCTTGAGAAATCACACGAGCGCCGGAAATGTACCCGTGGAAACCCCCCCAGCGAACGGCCGCGATGAGTGCGGCGTTCGAGCCCCCCCAACCACCTCGGTCTGCATGCCCGGCCCCGTGCATCCCCAATATGCCTCCGAAGCTGCCCGTCTGAGCACTTTCAACGACTGGCCTCGATGTATGCGCCAGAAACCAGAAGATTTAGCTGAAGCGGGCTTCTTCTATACTGGACAAGGCGACAAAACCAAATGCTTCTATTGTGACGGCGGTCTAAAAGATTGGGAGAACGACGATATACCATGGGAAGAACACGCGCGTTGGTTCGATCGTTGTGCCTACGTCCAACTGGTAAAGGGTAAAGAGTATATCCAAAGAGTGAAGACAGAAGCTTGTTTAATAAATGCTAGTGAAACCGGATCCTCAGTTACTCCTGACACTCCGAAAACCCCTAGTACAAATACTGACGAAGAAACACACATAGACGATAATAAAGTGTGTAAAATATGTTACGTTGAAGAACGCAACGTAGTATTTATCCCCTGCGGCCATGTGGTGGCTTGTGCGAAGTGCGCTCTATCAACTGACAAGTGCCCAATGTGCCGAAGGACGTTTACAAGTGCCGTCAGGTTATATTACTCATGAAATGATTAGTGATTTCAAACTAGTCAACGGGAGAACTGTTGAAACCAGCTCTTCCGTGTATTTGATTTTGGTCTTGATAGTTTTTACGTAAGATCATAAAAATATGCGAAGTCATGATAAAACTTTGTAAAAGCATAATCTAAACTTTGCACACGTATCTGCGCCAAGTATGGGAGCGAGGAAATGCGAAAAGCGAGAAAAACGCGGTAAACTTATTTTCCCTTTAGATTTTACGTAACAATTATTAATCCCCTGTTTTATTAGCATCTTGTCAAAAATTGTCTTACGTAATAACAACAAATAATATAAACAGTAATTAATTGATTTTTAAATTATTTATCGTTTAAAATTCTTTTATTTTTGTAAATAATTAATGTATAATAATGTATATAATAGATACAATAAAATATCTTGATATTATGTATTGAATGGAACATAGAGATTTTTTTAAACTTTCCGTTAGCTCAATTAATAACTGTTTTTAAGATCGAATTAATTAAAAAAGTAGTTCTACATAAGCACATTTGTTTCCGAATATATAATTTTAAACCTTAATGTTTTCAAGGTAGTGTTTTAAATCAAATGTAGAATTTGATATATTGTGCTAACCTGACGTGCAGCTGTGTACCATACACTTTACGCAAATAAAAATATCCTTTGACATATGAAAAAAAATAATTTTGATAATATTTCCGAATAATCTACATACTGAACTGAACCTAATACTTTATGTATGTACAAGTAGTTCCTATTTTTTATAAGATCAAGCTTTCAATTCATTTAATACATATTTTCAAGACACCTGTATAATTGAAAATAATTATAATTAATTATGTTTTGGTATAACAAATAAAAATTAATACAAAGAATTAAAAATTAAAATTGCATTTAGATTTAGTGTTTAAAGTGTGTGATATTCAACTGTAGTGCCACCACGCTGTACAGGGATAATTCCTATATAAATAAAATGTACATAAGTGTGGGTATTATAATTAAAATTATACGATTAGGTTGACAATGTAAATATAACATCATTATGGTACTGCCACAGACATTTTTAACCAAACAGACACAATTCACAGGTTCTATTTATCTGTACGTTCTGTTGGTATATAAAACAATGGCTAGGTGTGAGATGACCTCGCGCTGTAGTCATTTGAAATTTTCCATGGATATATTGATGCCATCTATATAGGGGAGGTTGGGCAAATGGAACAATCCATAGATAATTTCTCTGTAGGACTTGTTTTTCTTAATATTTCATAAATTAAAGAAGTGCTGCAGACACATTGTGTGCCAACAGAATATACAATTTTTTAAAATAAATAGAACCTGTAAATTATGTCTGCTTAGTAACGGTGATAGTGGATGCTGTGTGCCAGTACCATAACGACATTACATTTAAAGTAAACCATACGCACAAATTTTATTATCATACGTACAATTATATACAATTAATGTACACTTTATTATTATAGAAATTATCCCTGTTGAGCATGGTGGTACTACGTTAGAGTATCACAGTTTGAGGTAAAAATAGTTATTTATTAAAATAGTTATTTTAAAACGACCACTATATCAAGTAACTTTACAGTAAAACCTTTGCCGAATGCGCCATAAGTTATTCAGTGGAGGGAGTGATAAAAACAAAATTCATTAAATCAGAGGTATCGGAAAAGTAATCCCGCTGCTCCCTCCAATCGGAATACCTCCATGTGTTGTGCCCGTAGCAATATTCCGATATTTTAGGCACTTATCGCACAATAACTTAGTCCTCAAAACCTTAATTTAGTTTGATAAAAGTCCTAAACAAATTAACGGTGGTCGTCAAATTAACTTCTACATTTCCATTGAGGAACCTCCTTTCTCTTTTCGACAAAATTATGCGACGCGCATTGGCTCTCGATTACTATAGAACAGGAGTCACATTATTTTCAATGAGGTACGGTCAACCAAATTTCTGCCTACCCTGACTTGGGCAATTTTTGTTTACAGTTTAAAATGGCACCTTGGTTAGCCTGCTTGCCATAGCCAATAGCATCTTTTTTTGTTGATCGTATAATGATTTGTAGTCGCAGTAATTTTGTTTGGTTTATTTGACAGACAAATGACGCTAGAACACGTTAAGGTGGTTCGTTTGGATATTCGTTTTGTAACAATATATTGCGCTAATTGAATACTATTTAATTTTTATTTTGTAATTCAAATGTGTACCCAGTCTACTTTTTCTTAATAAAAATGGTCACTAAAACTTTGTAGTTTATAATAATAAAGGTTTCTCATTTAAATCAAAGATGTACCACCTTAACAACTACAAACTGGAATTACTCATATGGAAAATAATTAAGTCAAAACTTCTGTTTTCATAGGCAATCAATATTATTATTTAACTATTGCATGCTAAATTAAAATCAAGTGCAATACAGCTCTCTTTCTGTGAATTTTACATAACAAAGATAGCGTTATAGCATTCAACTAATATTTGCATGTGAATTCAATATGTTATTTTTTTTTTCGAATATGCCTTATCAAAAACTTATTTAAGGTTTATGTCGAAAATGTAATACTTGTAACTTGTTTTTGTAACTTGAAGAAAGGGATATATGCATGTATTGTATTTTAAGTTAAAAGCATGCAAAAGAATTGGAATTACATTAAAAAAAAATCATTGAACTTCGTATTTTATTTACTAAATCCTGATTTAAATCACCTACTACCACAAGTATATTATCGTACTTTATTATACGTTTTGTTACGTTCACGTCACATCTAATTTTTGTTGATATAAGCACAAATACACGTTAACTAAATAAGAAAAGGTAAATTAAATCACAAAAAAACTAGGGCTTAGCTGTGTATGCTTATTTGAACTTTATTCAAGTGGAGTTAATTAATGAAAAGGGAATTATGTAAAGGGTTAGTGGATGGCAGGCTGCATGTATTTTTACAAAGCCTTAATTCCGTCTAGATAAAGAACGCGATAAAACTTTTAGACAATACAATTATAAAATATACACGAAAGATATGCGTTACCAGACTATTAATGAATTTAAGATTTGCGTTATAGTAAGTGAGCGATAGATAACACCATGTATGTATATCTGTGATTAACTCGGAAGGAATAGGGATTTTATGAATTCATGCCAAAATGACTTTAAGTTTGAAAACAATGAGATTCTAAAGTGCTAAAGTTTATTAAAGAACAATTAAAAAAGTGGCGCTGCCAGAATGACATTAGCCCGGCAGTGCCATATTATTTTTCAATATCTTTAAAGTATCAGCTTAATGGCACAGTGATTAGCGCGCTCGGTCTACAATACGGTTGTTAGGCGGCTTTCCCGATGGCCGGACATAAAATGGGTGACCAAAAATTTTAAATTCTTTTTTTTATCTTGTTATTTGTGGAATTAATATAGTTTTCAATATGAGCATATTTATATCTACAATACCTTAATATCTACTTTCATTTTACAATTGCGAGATTTGACGAAGATATCTTCGATTGCTGTTAATTTTTTCGTAGTAATCCCATCTCGATAGAATTTCAATTCAAAATAATATTAGCGCTGTCATCCGCATAAATCAATGGTGACAGATACAAAATAGGTATATTATATTAATGAACTTCAGGAAGATAACACAATAGCAAAATGCAATAAGTTGAGATTCTATCGAGATGCGATTATTGCAGATATTTTTCATCAACAATACAACTAGATAACGCCTCGCATACTAAAACAATACAACACCATACACTGCGACAACCAAGGAACATACAACAGAGTATATTCTGTGATAAAACTAGACAACAACTGAGGGTATTGTCAATTTTATTTTTCTTAGTAAAATATACGTATAATTATATACGTTAATAATAATGAACGGACTACAATTAGATTGTTTGGTTAAAAAGTATACACGTACTGAATACTATAATTCATTTTTTACTGAAAATCCATTTTGCCTCTCAAATGACGTCTCGTCTCCAGTCGCCGTTTACGCAGTTTATTTAAACATTGTTTTGGGTAATTAATTAAAGTTGAATTTACATCAAATAACATTTTTTGTGGGAATAAGCACATATACAAATTTTTAGAAAGTTTGGCGCCGTCGCAATCAAACTAAAACAAAATAAGACGTCACTTTGAAGTGAGGCGTTTTTCTATTGTATTGTTGCAAAAATGGTTCGGGTTAAGCCATCATAGGGGTCATCCATAAATTACTTCACACGATTTTCATGTTTTTTTGTCCTTCTCCCCGCTCTAGTCACAGCTGGTCACATTTGTAAGACTCCTACTCCTAGTGCGATGTCACATATTTTGCAAAGTTTTTGTAAAGTAATAGTTTAAAGTTCGTGTTTTAACATTTAGATTACAATAGATTTTGAAATGTGACGTCACGAAATTTAGGACCCTCCCAACCCCTTGTCACATAATATCACAATTCGTCGACCCCCTCCCTCCCCCTTAACGTGACGTAATTTATGGATGGGCCCTCTATGAATTCGTGTATCTTTACTCAACACTCGGTAGACTGCAATAAAAACATGTGAATATATTTCTTTCCATTTATTTCAATGATAAATTAGTTATCTATTGAGCCATTAAGGTTTGTACGTATTTATTATTATGCTGCAATAGATTCTGTTTCAATTTCCCTATTTCGCTCATCATAGCGTCGTCAGACACGGTTGACTCTTGAATTCGTTTACATTTCTTCAAGAAATCCTGTATTAGTTTTTGCCCATCTTCAACTTCTTGAGATTTAACTGCAGCTTCCACTTCAAAGAGATTCATTTCTAGTTGAGCTTGTTTTGCTTCAGCATACTAAAACGACAATAGAAAGTTCTTAAATTTCATGAAAATTTACCAGACATGTAAAAATCTGCAAAACTAACTCCGTTAATTTTCATAAACAAATCGCAATCTGTCTGCGATGCGGAAGCAACTTTCGCAAGGACCAGTTATAGGTTATGGGGCCAGAATTATTATCTCAAGGTCCTCTATACTTCATAAGGCTCATTAATACGTTCTTCTAAATCTGTAGCCAGGACCAACTTTTATTTATTTATTATTAGCCACCACGTATTTTTTTCGTAATCAATAGCGATGACATTACTGACATATATCTTTAATGAAAAATGCTCAAACCCACCAGTCTCAGGTACCCCGAGATGAGACTCGAATCCAGAACCATTAAGCTAACAGAGCTGACGAATTTTCCAAGCACTTATGACTTTTCGCTACAACTGAGCGTATTTTCGTTAATATCCAGGCAATTTTTCAATGAAAAAACTTTCACATCAATTACAACTAAAAAAAATAGAACACAACAATTACCTCAATAATAGATTCGGGTAAATCAGCTAGTTTTGCAACGTGCAAACCTAAGGAGTGTGTCGCCGGTCCCGGTGATATTTTGTGTAATAATAATAATTGTTGATCTACAACCGACGCTTCTGCATGGGAATTGACTATAACACCCGGATGTTTACTAGCTAAGCGAGTCAACTCATGATAGTGAGTCGCGAATAGGCAGAAGCATTTAGATTTCGTCGCCAACTCTCTGAAAAAAAGTATAATAATAATCTTTATTTCAGTGATACGACTCCATAGTAAATATTAGTAAATAATAAAAGGCAACAATACAATTAAGAAATAGATAGTCAATCGAATGATGTAGGCTACAATAGGGATGACAACTGGGTAAAAACAAAAGAATTTTTATTTAGTCCGTCAGTCAGATAATAGAAAAATATTAGATACTTATATTTTTTTCTTCAATTTGAAGAAGAAATGGTTTAGTTATTAGGGACTAAAGTTGAGAAGTGGGGGCTCGCTACGTCACAGTTTTGTAGAAAATGTACCATAGCGTGACGTCATGCGACATTTCAACTCAATGTATCGCCGTAATTTATTGAATACGCGAAAAATAAAAAAATATGTATTTAATATTCTTCAATAATCCACCTGACGGATAGAAAAACAAATGTCGTCATCCCTAATTACGCGGGCAAAGTCGCGGGAAGGCAGCTAGTAAATATTAAACATACTCAGCTATAGCCCAGGCGATGCCACATCCTTCGTATGTGGAAGTACCCCGCCCCAACTCATCGACGAGCACTAAAGAATCCGGTGTAGCTGTCTGAACAAAAATATTATTGTTAGATTTTTTACAATTTAAAATAGAAGCCTGCACTTAAAAGAACCGGCGAAAAAATCAACAAGTATAAGTTCCAAATAGTGAATCTTAACAACGACGGAATTTTTAAAGCCGATGCAGAAGGAAAGTAATCGCAAGGGCCGGTAATAGGATGGGTGATCATAGACAAGTTAAGTTTCTGGTCCCGTCTACATTGGCAATGTTGAATAGCTACCAATCCACAGTGTTTACCTGGTGGGTCAAAACTCAAAACCATTTCATTTATTCAGTCTAGACTGTTACAAGCATTTGTCAAAGTCGAAATCTATGCCATCGGTTTGCAAATCTACAGTGGGGAGACCTTGTACTGAGAAAAACCGGCAAGTAACTCAGCAATTGCTGCTTTTCTTGGTTATGGTACGTTCTCTCTATTAGTTTGTGATTTGTGATGGTTGATTTTCAAATAATTCAAGTAATCATTTCATTAGACTTAAAACATTTGCATGCCTACACAAATAAGGTGAACAGTCAGTATGGGAAAGTTTATAAAATAAGACATATGAAGATCTGTTCTTTATTCATACAATTAAATAATCTAGTTCTCAGATCGATAATCGAACCCGGACGTTTAAAACAATAAAACTTACATTTATTTGAACTTATATACCGATTGTACAGTAAATGGATGTCTAAAACGAAATAATTAACGATAGAGACAATTTGGCGTACCTAAACGAGTTGAATGTTGTATTGAAAAATAAATGGTTGTTATTCCGAACACCTGCTTTAAGACCGAATCGGTATCTAAGTAGAAACAAAAAATGTAAGTTAAATAAAGAACTAAGAACTAGTTTTTTTTAAATATATTAATGCAGTTTTTCTTGTCATTTAAGTCGATGGTGGTTCCTTAGAACAAATATTCGTGTATGTCTAAATGTTACGCCCTGTATATTAATAAATAAACAAACAACATCACATACATTGTTCAGATTCCAAGATGAGGAACTAAAGTCCCCATTTTATGAAGTGTCCGAAACAACAAAGGTATCACAACACCCAGACCCGAGATAATATAGAACTCGTGGCCCAATTTTCAAGTTTGAAAAAATATATCGCTATCACTTTGAAATTGACATTTGAAAGATATTCACGAACTTCACGCTTCAACTGTTTGACATGAGATAGCAATTGCGATCTCAACGTTTTTATGAAAGATATTGAACAAATGATAAAGTTTATTTTACCGTTAATCGGACTCGTCTAAACAAAGTGATGGTTACAAATATCTTTGAAAGTATTGAGAAATGTCAAGCGAAATTAATTGTCTATGACATTTAGATCATTCAAATCATCATTCGTTCCAAAAGCGATCGTGTTTTTAAAGTTACAATTCCACTACTCACTGTTAAACCAAATTAAACAATAGGAAACCGGGGTCTCAGAGATGGCAACACCTTAAAACCGGACAATTAGGACACTGGGCTCTCAGAATTGGCAACACCTTGAAACCGGACAATTAGGACACCGGGGTCTCAAAGATGGCAACGCCTTGAAACCGGACAATTAGGACACCGGGGTCTCCGAGATGGCAACGTCTTGAAACCGGACAATTAGGACACCGGGGTCTCAAAGATGGCAACGCCTTGAAACCGGACAATTAGGACACCGGGGTCTCAGAGATGGCAACGCCTTGAAACCGGACAATTAGGACACCGGGGTCTCAGAGAGGGCAACACCTTGAAACCGGACAATTAGGACACCGGGGTCTCAGAGATGGCAACACCTTGAAATCGGACAATTAGGACACCGGGGTCTCCGAGATGGCAACGCCTTGAAACCGGACAATTAGGACACCGGGGTCTCCGAGATGGCAACGCCTTGAAACCGGACAATTAGGACACCGGGGTCTCAGAGATGGCAACACCTTGAAACCGGACAATTAGGACACCGGGGTCTCAGAGATGGCAACACCTTGAAACCAGACAATTAGGACACTGGACTCTCTGAACTAACATTATAAAGAGGAAAGATTTGATTGTTTGTTTGCAACGAATAGACTCCGAAACTATTGGACCGATTTTAAAAATTCTTTCATCTACGGCTTCCCGTAGATCTACATCATATACGGTGAACATAGGCTATAATTTATCCCGAAAAACAGCAAATTAAGGGATGAAATAATAATAATAATACACTTTATTGCACTCAATATAACACAGGTTACAGGAAAATTACATTAAGAAGAAACAGAACACAAATGGCGGCCTTATTGCTGTGTAGCAATTTCTTCCAGGCAACCAATGGAGAGAAAAAGAAGTTGTAATGGATAGTGTGGGGGTAATAGGTGCAATATAAGGAAGGATAAATAAATAACGGATACAACTCTAGACAAACACATAGTTACTAAGATGATTAAAAGACAGATTTAAATTAATGTTCTACAACAGTTTAAAATATATATAATAAGTAAAAATGTTTTAGGATATAGATAGGAAATGACTCTTAACTTGATCGCAAAACGTATCGAGTGAACGAGCTTACCTAATACATTCCGGGAGTGAGTTCCAAAGCCGCACAGCATGCACAGAGAAGGAGTAGGAAACAAATCTGTAGAGTGATGAGGAATCTCAAGAGTGAGATTGGTAGAGGAACGCAATGAACATTGTGTAGAGAAAGAGCGGAAGGAGAAGCATTTTTTGTTATTATACGCCTGCATTGTTATTACACCATGCAGAGACTAAATCGTCAATACGGATGCGTTGCCGGCGTCCTAGCAGGTAACTACGAAACCAATCAATTGCGGCTGGAGATACATTAAGAGAAACCATAACACCGAGAAATACATCAAAATCAACAGAGTTGAAGGCGTTACTTAAGTCTAATAACGTTAACAGAGTTAGCTGTTTATTCTCCATACCCCATCGAATGTCATCGGTAATCTTAACCAACGCAGTAGAAGTACTAAGGCTCTTGCGGAAGCCAGATTGTAGAGGATTCAGGATCTGATTAGTATTAAGGAAAGTGGTGAGCTGTTGGGAGATAAGTTTTTCAAGGACTTTGGAGAGGAAAAGAAGAATGGAAATGGGACGATATTCAGAGAATTGAGACGGATTTGGCTTCTTTGGAAGTGGAACAATATATGCATCTTTCCAAGATGTAGGAAAAACACCAGTCTGAATTATTGGAGACAGAGTAACAATCAGAGGAAGGATCATTTTTCTACTGACAGAATCACTACCTACTGCATTTGAATTAATATAAAAGGGCTCTCTTAACATCACATTCCGCAAATTGATGCAAGAAAAAGGGAGAATTGAGAGTTGGCAGATTAGAAAGATGCTGAAGAGTTTCAGCTTTCCGGTTTCCATCAATAGGAAAAGATGTGGAAAAATAACTATTAAGTTGATCAATATCAATTTTACGAGAATGATAGTCACGTGACTTGCCAATCCCAACTGACCTCAAAAACTTCCAAACTCTTCCAGGATCATCATTATCGACAGATTTATGAATGTGGCGTCTTTGAGCGTCCCTTATCACCGTGTTACATCTATTTCTAGCACGAGTATACTTCTCCTCATTACGCTTCGAAGGATTGAGTTTAAATTTTGTCTTAGCCCTATTCTTCTTTACCATTTACCCACGTATCTCCTCAGTTAGCCAAGGAGCAGGAAGATGTTTAATTTTGATGGGTCGAACAGGAGCATGCTTGTCATACAATTCTGTGATGAGCCTATTAAAAAGCTCAACCTGCACGTCAACAGAATCACTAACAAAAATAGCTGACCAGTCTATGTTGGCAGCATCATGAAAATGAGAGTTGAAATTTGTATAGGGAATTATATTCAATTTATCAATGTAATTATATCCGTATCACGATATGAATAAATATCCAAATAAACAGTTTCCTATGGTTCTCGTGTAGTGAACTCTAGCTACAAAGCTAGTGTAGCATAAATTAAGTAACTTTACCCTGAGTATAGCGGCGGATTCGATCATTTCCAACATGAATGTGCTCTGTCCTTTATCCTCCCTATCAGCGGCTCCCACTCTAGCAGCTAAAGCTCTCAATCTCGGTATTACCGCCGATGTCGCCGGCACGAAACAACCAGCGTGAGCCATCAGTACAGCGACGCCGCATGATCGCATCCATGTCGATTTACCGCCCATATTAGCACCTGTCACTATGTGCATTACACAACTATCTGTAAAGAATTTATTTTAATTAATTTATTACTTTACTGACTGCAGAATAAGTGATACAAATATATATATATATATATATATATATATATATATATATATATATATGTGTTGCAGAATATCTCCATCATCTTTACGAAGATCGTTTGATTTAGTTTCTTTTTTGTAATTGCTAGTTACTCGATTACTTAATTACTCGGTTGTAGAGAGGGCGTGATCATCGATACTTTTAATTTTATTAGAATGGTAACACTGACTCTGACAGTTCGTTAATGTAAAGCAAGTTGCCGCCATTTTGGTTGACATTCTGTTTCCGATCGCCGAGGAGTAAACACATCCGACGACATCACGCTCATCTCGTTATATTTTCGTATGAAAAGTGATAAAATGGAACAAGTCCACATTAGTATACACGCCCGCAGTTATTTTAAAGATAGTCCTCCGATATGGACGGTCTATCTGGGCTTCGTAGCTCCTTCTGACCACCCGCCGTCATATATATATATATATATATATATATATGTCGGCGAGAAGGCGTTTCGATTGTGCGAAACGCCATCTATCACCTGCAGCTGTCATCTGTCAAGATCTATGGTGCTTTGCGAAACGTCAAGTTATGACATTGACAGCTGTCATCGCTTGGGAGTGGTCTATGCTTGTTCGAAGATGGCACTTTACGTTGTGCGGCCATATTGAGCAAACGCAAGCGCAGAAATCTCCGCGTTTCATATCGCAATCCGTTTTCATCGCGTTATTATTAATGTACTCCGATTAGATAACTAAGTAATTCAATTAAATAACTGATTTGTGATCTATCTACGATCTTATTTCGAAGGAATATCTCGAACACTAGTCAGATAGCGGATGATGACCAACCTAACTTTCCGCCGGTCCCGCCTGACTTACCGACATATATATATATTTGATAATACACATTATGATTTTTAAACGCTGAATAAGAATTTTTATATGGAGACAGGTCTTCTACTGCTAGTATTTTTTCATAATATCGATACATTGAATATATAGCAAAACAGACGTATTTGAGATATGATTTAACAAGATAATAATGAAAATACCCCATGGGGCTAACTACTTTCAAAATCTAACGAAATCCCTTTCAACAGTATATCGATTGAAAGAGCCATTTATGGAATTAATAACTATAAAAGCCGCAATCGCTTTTGGAATGAATGATGATTTGAATGATCACGAAACATGAGAACTCACCTTAAAACTTAATTAACTTTTCCTTTTGGCATTTTTCAATAGCTTTCAAAAATATTTACGTCTATATTGTTCATTCAATATTTAAAAAAAAAGTCACGATCGTAATTGCTATGGCATTTAAAATATAGTTGTAAAATAAAAAAAAATACTAGTATTAGACGCGTTTTGTAACACAAAAGTCGCTGCTAAGGAATAGTATTACAAATAAATAAAACATTTACAGCAATAGATTTGAATTCGCCCCTTTTGGACAAGTCTCAAAAGGGCAGATCAGTTGTCATATAAGAAAAGAAACATTAAATAGAGACTGCATGATCGTTAAGTGTCATGTCTCGAAAAATAATGAAGTCAAGTTGAATGTTTGTCAAGCATCTGTACTAGTTAAGACCCACCAATCATCTTTGTACTCGTTCTCTCTATTTGATACTGTCCGTAATGGAGACTTGCCAGAGTATTGAAAAAATCAATAGGCTTATGACGATGTAAAAGCCTTACCTCTTTTGAAGACTACATCATTAGGTATGTAAGAGACTCCCTCCTGTACTTCAAGACACGGATGCCTCACATCCTTCAGCACCAATTCATTCAAGCTTTCAGTAAACACCGGTCTACAGTAAGGATAAGGTGCAGTGGAAGCCGCCACTGAGAATGCCACTAGGACATCTAACCGGGATAGGATATGGGATAAGCAAAATAAGCACTCGGAGTAACCAGCTGAAAAAAATACAGATTTTATGTTAAGATGAAATATCAGTTTCATTCTTTTGTTTTTTATTTATTCGGTACACACACAGGAGTACAATCACGTCATTAAAAAAGTCACGACATTATAAAACAAAACTAAGGCAAACATTATAACTTTGTGACTGTAAGTTTAAAATTCATGCACAATTATATACAAAATTAAAAATTTCATGTAATTCAAATAAATATTTCAAAAAAAATATTGGGCAGCAAAAATATATGAATTAGTAAGGTTAGCTTATAATAAACTGGAAATAAAATATTTGATTAAAACGCTATAGGGCTAAATAAAAAAAAGTATTGAAGTTTGATTAAAGTTAGTGATCATTTCAAAATGACAATAAAACAATAAGAAACAATGAAAATTAAAAAAAAATCTTCTAGGCTGCCAATTAACGGCGCTTATTATTTGATGTTTTTATTTTATATATCTATTTAAAAACGTATTGTTGTAATCTATGGTGTTCAGTCGTGTCTACTACATAAGTAATCTTGAATTTTATCCGGTTATATCGCTACAATACTTCAATAATTTACAGAGATATAAACATTAAGACTTTCGATTAGACATATAATGAACTGTGACGTCAAAGTGTAATACTAGTCATACAGGTAGTGTGCATAGTCGATAAACGTCTGCACAGCGAGTAATTTTTACGCTGTAATTTAACAAAAGAGTGAAACTGGAAGAGATATGTAGCTGCTGAATAATCTATCGATCTGAGTCACATATTTTTCATTTCTTTTTTGTTTTATTTTCCGGAGATTTTTTCCAGAAAACATAAAATAGTTAAATAAAATTAAGGGAATATTTATATTATAATAAGAAACAAAACAAACTTACCAGCGATTCCGACGATTTCAGTGACGACCTTGTCTTGCTCTTTCTCGTATGATGATTTTGTGTGAGTATACTCCTCTGTGATTTCTTCCAATTTATTAGTTTTGAACCTTACGCCGCCTTTAACAGCGTCTATTATCGTGTACTTTTTATTGCCTCGAAGTGCCTTTTCTTCTTTTAAAGTAACCCTATTAAATAAATTTCAAAACTTTTTATCTTGAAATAATAACAATTGAAGATTCTCACAATAAGTCCTTTCACGCTGAATATTAATTTTTTTTTTATTTTAAATTCTCTTATAAACGTTAAAAAAATAAATTTAGTCATTTGTATTCCCTTCGCCGTCGACATGTGAACCAAAATTCCATTCCATCGGTAAACCGTTAAAAAAAGCAGAACGCTAAAACCTGTGTCCGTCATTTCTCACGTGGAAAGTAGTACCGCTTATTCAATAAGGCTTATTGCATAAGCTATCTGCCAGTGAAAGTCCGGTCAAAAGTTTCAGAGCTCCGGAACAAACAGGCAGACAAAAAAAAGATTTCTGTATATGTACATATGTATTTAGTGAAAAGTGATTATTTTAATGTTACAAATAGACACTCCAATTTTATTTATTTGTATAGATGATGTATTACCTGAAATGGAAACCAGCTTGTGCGTTATATTCCAATTTGATAGTCTTCCCCGCGTCCATTCCTAAGTCTTTAGCAGCTTTGCTCAATTCCCTTTCAGCTGATAATTGGAATTGTTCCAATTGGACACTCAAGTTTTGCAGTAAATCGTCGAAAGAAGGCTTTACAAGATAATCGCCTAAAACCAGATATGTTGTTACAAAAAAATAACATCACTACATATTTTTATTTTTGATTTTAGAAGTTAAGAGATTCATCACAATATTCACAGTGAGTAGAGTTGAAAGGATCCCAAAGTAAACCTTTTTTAAAACACGAACTAAATCCACAAAAAAGAAAAAAAAGAAGTCCTTATAGATATAAGAACTTATTTTTTCACTTTTACCAATAACTTACTCTTATCGCAAAGGGACTAAGGGCGACTTTTTTGATGAATCAAAAACTGATTTGTATGTTGAAACTTCACCTCTGTCAACAGCATCCATATCCATAGTAGTTTCTATCATTTGCTGGAACTTATCTAGATCGTCATTCAATTCAGATATCGGTTCAGATAGAGAAGAATGCACCGTTGCGTTGTTTCCTTCCGCCAAACATTGTAGTAAGGCGGGTAGCCTTTTAATAGCCTTAAATCACAATAAAAATGATTCAATACTTTGTATTGGTAATAAGCACGAGTTCTATATATCATAAACTATCTAAAACTAATGTTGTTTTACTATTATGTCAATATATACGTTTTCTCACAATTACAAACTGTAAATCAAAGACAAGCGATACAAAATTGATTACTTTTTATAACTAAATATCACATAGTTTGATATTCACACTTTCTTTTTCTAATACTAGTAAAGGTTCCATTTTGCAAATGAGATGAAGCATTTCCATGATGACATATTCATTAAATATTAGGAGCGGTAGAATCTTGCAATATGATATTTAGTTTCATAACAGGAAGGTCTATTAAGCGGTAGCAAAATTAAGTTTTGATTTGTGCGACTGCTTTGATAACGATATTTAACGGTTTCCTAAATTTATCAAAACAGAATATTTTATAAATACAGTTATGGATAAATTGTTAAAACGCCCATATATAATTTCAAAACTGTTTACACCATAAATGAAATAGTATAATATAATACAACTAATTTACTTAATTCAACTATTTTTGATCATTGTAATTATATTTATTATAAGTGTGTAATTTTATATAAATAATAAGATTTTTTGCAGATTCCGTGGCTATTAGACTTGTCTATTTGTCTAACGACACGACATTTTTATTGTTTGAGTGATATTTATAAGATTTTGTCTAATTGATCATCATCATCATCATCATCAATCCTTTTTACGTCCCCACTGCAGGGGCTCGAGTCTTTCTTATGGATGGTTAAGGAGTATGGGTCATGACCCTCCACGCTGGGCCAATGCGGATTGGAGGATATTAACGACTGCAAATGCAGCCGGGAACAAAGGCTTAACGTGCCTTCCGAAGCACGGAGTAGCTCGAAATAATACCTTGTTGGTCACCCATCCCGTGACCGACCCTTGCGAAAGATGCTTAACAACAACGATCGTGGGCCGCGGCGATATCCACTACGCCACCGAGCTAATTAAGTTTGTCTAATTACTGACTTGATAAATCCTATAGCAGTCATGTAGATTAGCCTTCTTTCTAGTAAGTCTTCTCGCCAGTGCTTGCAGATCAGGTATCCTACGTAAATGGTCGTCGTGCAGTTGTAATCTTAACTGAGAACTGTTGACCAACAGTTCTACAATGTCGAGGCGCTCGTTGATTAGATTTATATCTCTAAGCGGCTGACGTAACCACTGGGCAAGGAGACTGAAAAAAATAGCATGTAGCGTTTATAAATGGTAGAAAATTGGAAATATCAGAATTAATGACACTAGATACTACAATAAATATTACGCCTGAATATTTAAATATACAGAGAATATAAATTTCTGCAAAAATAACAATATCCAATATACTCGTAACATATCATATTAGTTATTATCATCTACAAATACCATCATAAAGTAGCTGAACGCACGTCAGCCAACTAATTCACTGTCAACTCACTGTGCGCACCACAGAAATATATCTAGTTAGAAGGAAAAAGTGTACGTACTTCGCGTGCCGAAACGACGTCTAGACAGCTTCATTGCTCGCCGCGAGGCTCAGTCCACTTTCGATCGCAATCGGTGTTGGACGAAATTTAAAATGATGCGTTGTTCGATAATTACCTGCTCAAACACCACCAATATGGTTGGATCTTATAGTCGAGGTATTTCCTTCCATCGGTAAGTAACTATTTACCTTGATATATCTATTTTGAATTAAAAATCATTAGTTTTGTTGCTCCGTATTATTTTTATCAAAACGGTCATGTGTCTAGTAATAGCTTTCCATTGCGGCTTTAATTTGACAGTCCAAATTTGCTGTGCTTGTAAAACCATCGATGTATAATTCAAGGTCAATTTGTTGGAGGCCAAAAATGGAGAATAGTGCTGTGCAATGCGATTTTTTTACCCGATTAAAAAAATATCGTTTTTGAAAGCAGAAGAAAGGATAATTAATTTTATATTGAATTATACTGTAATTTTTGTTTTAGTTTTCCGTATGATCCTAATATTAAAAATAAATGGATTGAAGCAACAGGACTCTAAGGCAAATAGTAGGTATACTTACTGGATATGGAAACTTTAACAAACACCTATATAACATGGGTTATTCTGACAGTCCTCTGAGCAGGGCGTGCATGGAGACTGAGGAGACAATCTCCTCAGTCTCCATTCCAGTATCACATAAGCGCTTGTGCACTCATGTGATACTGATATGCAGGAGTCTATTAAGACAAAAGGACTACATATCTATGAAGCCCAAGGATACTAGTGGAAGCATGCGGCAGAGTTCGAGATCTTACGGGCTTCCTGGAGGAGCTGGGGTGGCAGGACTAAAGCAACCCCGTGTCTGGAAAATAGGTACTGAGTATCGAGTTGCAGAAAAGCCCGCCGTGAAACATAACATAACAACACAGGACGTAAAAATGTGTAGCGTGTCGGGAGGGGGTAGCGGCTACTACAGTGTTTGCCCACAGAAAAATGCCGATTTCTATTCTATCGCATAAAATCTTTTTTGCGCCGATTCACTACATTACATACGTGCGTTCGTGGCATATACATAATATTTAAGCAAAATGGTAGTCTGTCTATGAAGTCATGAAAAAAATTGAGGGCGCTTCGATCGTGCACGTAGCAACCCTGTGTAGTGAGACAAATGATTTTGATAGTAGGATTTTTTTTTACTCTTATTACCCCAGAAAAGGTAAAGAAAGGCGTATAATTCGTAGACAATGAGTTTATTCTACATTGAAGATTACAATATAGTAATCGTAATTTTTGATAAATCTTTTTTTTTATAATTGCCAAGTTGTTTTCTCGTTTTACTGCAATGTGTGCTTGTGTTCGATTAAAGCCTGTTACTTTGACACTCCTTGTAAGAAAACCCAATATATTTCAGAATTTAACGCAGAACTTCTAGGCTACAATTAAAATCCAGATCGGTTTTGGTAATCAACTGATGTTTTCTTCATGTAGGTACCTCTTTTTTTCACAGAGTAAAAGAACTGAATCTTTTGTCGAAGTGCACAAATGTTGCAGTTAACCATTTATTTCTTAGGACGACTATCTATGTTTCCCAGGGGTTTCAAATATGCCACCATTTTTATAACCTTCATCTACAATACGTAGCACTATATTCTCTGATTTTCCTGAAAGTAAGTTTTAAAAATGTAATACCTATAGGTATTTGGCAAAAAGAATGGAATCGCCACAATGATCAAATTAATGCTATAATTTTAGTAATAGAAAGCACAAACTTTTTATTGGCGTACATAGGTAAAAATCGTACATTCCTAAAAGGTATATTTTTTATTCAGATTAAAATCAATGATAAATTTGATTATCCAAAAGTATTGAAAGTTCGGACCGCACTACAATATAGCCTTCTAACATTTTCAATCTAACTTATAAATGCATAATGTAATCAATACTTCTTTTAGACTTAAATTCATATATTTAGTAAATTTGAAACTTCTGGTAACCAAAACTCAATCAGTAACACGATTACTGCCGTTCGAGCTTAAACATTCTACAAATATGATAAAATGTGTCCAGCTTCTTGTTCCAATAAACATCACTGAAAAACTTTATAAATAATATCCTGAGCTTCACTCTGATTAATTCTCTTCATTTTTAACACTTTTCGACGGAGTTTAGAAGAAGTACCTTCAGTTTAATCAAAACAAATCAAAAATGCAGAAAATCGAGCTAAAAAATCAAGTTGTTGACAGTCGATGTACTTTGATTCAGTGTTGTGATACTTGTGTCTAATGTTAGTTCCTCAAACATTCTTTTCATGACTTTAAAGACAGACTGTACACGTTGGTCTCCGTCGATCGATATCGTTTTTCAATCGATAAGAATCGGTATGCCGTTTCAAATACAACATGTATTCGATGCAAGTGAAATTATGTCTTCCATCACTAAATTAAGATCGTGACGTCATGATACCTACACAAAATGTGGCACGCTCGGTCTCCATATAAATCGACGAACATGTTCCTTCTAACTAGATTTATTTCTGTGGTGCGCACCGATATTTATTGGCAGGATTAGAATTTAAATAAAAATATGTATTGTAGTGGGTGATTTTATATGAACGACTTAAAAACGATTTGTAATTGATACAGATACAGGACTGATCATACAGGTAATGCAAAATTGCTTGTTCGCAACTGGGTATTAATGCTCCGTGTGATCCAATATTGAATAGTAACGTACACAACCATTAAGCGAGTGGGTTAAGCTTTAACTTTCATAATAAATTCTTAATACAATTATACAAAGACCACATAACTGCGATTCAGACGGCCACAGCGCCATCTATCAAAAGCAGAGTAAGTAATGTATTAGACTGCAATTGTTTTAGTATGTTTATTATGATTTCGAAGTTTGGCGCTATAATAGTTAATAACATCATAAAATGGAATCATCATAATCATAAGATCGAAAAATGGACAGACGTCATGTTGAACGGTCCAAATGTCATAAAAATTCAACTAGAAAACTAGGCATGCAATTGAATGGCGCCATCCAATCAAATTTATTGTAACCTAGCTTGTTCCATAATAAGCCGTAGGGGTTTCAAACCTAATTTACACTTTACCGTATAGTATTATATTTGTGATGTAATACCGTTTTCCTTGCTGTGTGCGACATCTATCGAGCAATCCGAGTAAACTCCTAGAAGGCGCATGTGAAGAATCTCCCAACTCGGGGAAAACATTTAATGCTGATAAAGCAGCCGCGTCTAAATGGAGAAAGCAATCCGCCTGGATCGTCGAAATACGAAACCTAAAATTAAAGATAACTCTTACTTAGTCTTAACTCTTATTAACAAATGTCATAAATATTTAATTATAAGTATTTCGTCACTATGTATTTTTACTATTTCTAAATTCTGTTCAAAAGAGTTACATTAATCCTACCAAGAAGGAAGAGAATTTTGGCTTTGACTTTTGATGGCAATAGCAACCGACAAATCCTAGGAGAGGCAAAGTGAGGAGCGAGAGAATGGTATAGCCTTTCTACTGATCAGTCTGCGAGCCTAGTGTATTGATCAGTGTCTAGTTAAGTAACAATATTTGATTTGATTCTAGAAGCGGATCATTGCAGTAAACGAAAATATTTTTTTTTTCGGGTAGTATTTAATATACTTTTAACGATAATCACACTTTTAAGCTTATTATATTTATAATGTTGCTCAAATTAATTATGAAAATCCCAAATATTTTATACTTATTGTCACGAGACCACAAACGTCACGAGACCACAAACAGCGCGTGACGTCGCGCCCCGCTACTCATATAAGATTATAGAGAATTAAACCCAATGCATACATACTACGATATTAGTTATAAAGTTATACGTCATAGCGACGCAATCAGTGTTTTCGCGGGAAATTTTGAATATAAAGTTTATTTTAAGATTTTAACTATATAAATATATATATATATTTAGAAATATTTCATGAATATCTATAAAACTACGAAAAAATATTTAAAAAGTTGTCTATATTGTACCGGATATATAATTTGTTACTGTCACTGTTAAGCACCGAACTGTCAATATTGTTTTTTGTAGCAGTTTATATATTTCGCGACGAACACAAGTATAATCTATACATAGTAACAAACTCGCTTTCCGCTGTCTGTGCGCTGCCATCTCTTAAACACCACAACGGATTTTAATGCGGTTTTCATCACAGTGATTCAAGATTATATAAAATTAAGCTTTATATATTATAGATAGATAGATAGATACAGAACCACGCGGGCGAATCCCTGGAGGAAGCCTAGTGAACTATATATTATATACTTGCCTTCCGAAATTGGTATTGTCATTCAACAAAGAAGTATATTTCACTGCAGCAGCTAAACTCGTCATGGCGTGTTCCTTTCTAGTCTCAGGGAAAGCGTTCGCGTCTTGCTGTTGGTTTTCCTTGAACTTTAACAGTCTGTTTAAGTCTTGATGCAAACCTTCCGTGGAAAAATCAGCTTTCTTCAATTTTGTTACAGTCACACCGGCTCTCGCCATTACTTGTTTTAAAGCTTTGTACTGAAAAATAATATGTATCTCCATAGATATACATACATAAAATACAATAATGCTTGCAATATTTATTCTTATAACGATTTAAACTCAAGATAAGTATTAAAGGCGGAGTATTAAGGAGAGCAGAGAGTCTATTAATTTATATAAAATTCATAATAATTAAACAGAGCGAAAGATTTTTTTTAAAATTAAAGAACTGAATGAAATATGATTCTTTAAAAGTATTGAAGAGAAGTTGGAGTGGGAACGCTTTCTGTCCTTCTCGTTCTCGTGGTTTATTTCTCGTGGTTTATAACTCATGATGTTATATTAACTCATAAGTGGGTATACCTATTTCTATGTTTCTAATAAAGAAGTGGACAATATGTGAAAATTTATTTTAAATTAATTATCAGGATACCCATAATTTTCGTGTATTATTTTTGTATGTAATAGAATAAAACATGATTTATCAGTTACATTTATATTAGACGCAAAAACGCGGCAATTTGATCTGTGACGTCACTATTCCTTATGAACAGCCATAATGACAGCTAGCTGGGCATTTCGATTCTCTTTAAAAATATAACTAATTGTAATTATAAATAAGTTTGTTAAATTAATTGTTGGGGCCATTTGCAGCTTACATTTTATAGGTATGCATGTCGGTTACCAACCTTCAATGAAGGCAGCACGTTGTCTTTGTTATTAATCATTAAGTTATTCACATGTAGTGAGTGACCTTGTTGGTTATTCAAATAAATAAATCAATGAATCGATTCATTTCCAACAGAATTTGGACTATTAAACTAATATTTTTGTATTATTATTTGTTTGTGTTAAATTATCATTAATAATATTAACATATAGTTTTTAAAAATGCTGATATTTTATCGAGCGTACCTATTATCGATATTGTCATTCTGTGCTACCATTTTCAACGTTATGGTTTTGCTAGTGTAGTCGTTTGCGGTCACGTGACTCACAGCTTAAAAAATTACACAACTTTAAAAATATATGTACATACATCAGAAAGTTTAACGTGCTCTGTCCAATTCTACAGCATTTAAAATATGTAAGTTATAGCAGGAGTGGAGTATTAAGTGGTGTAATGAGAATTGTAGTTTTAAACCGTACTCACATCTTCATTTTCAGTTTGTGGCACGAGACATTCGGAGGGCGCCATTTGTACTGTAATCGTTTCCAGTTCGGTCAATAGATCGTCATCGGTGAATTCCACTACTGAAATCTGATAATCACCAGGGACGATACAAGCTACACCTAGCAAGCGACCCTGTAATAGTAAAAGCAAAATAAATAGTAGCTGATTTTTAAAAAGTTTTAATTAAATTGACAAAAGGAAATCAACCAATAAAAAATATCTATTATAATTTGAATTTCCGCAATTAATTTTGATCTTTACCGATAATTTATTAAGGTTTAAAATCCGAAGAGGGAATATGACAGTTTTGTATAATTTGAAGTGCTATTGACTGCACAATTGTTTAGCATAACACGTAGATTATTCGTTAAATAAAACGAATTTTAAAATTTCATACATGTTAATTAATAAAAATTAATACGCATTATACCACATCATGGGCATTACTTAATTTATTTATTGACCCTACCAGGAATCAAACCCCAAATATCAGAAAAAGATAGCGACACCTTAAAACCGACGTATAAGCTACGGAGATAAGGAGTGAGGTATTGCAGACGATAGTAAACTATATTTAATTATATTCTATATTCGGTGTCAATAAATATATTTTCAGGAATTCTAAATACGACTAGATGTGAAAATCTCTTTTCAATCTCAAAGGAAATCAGTCGGAGTTCGAATTTCGGCTCCTGCGCATGGTTGTCGTCAACAGTTCATGACAATCAACAGCGCGTTAAAATATTTAAATCAGACATTAAGAATTAAGCACAACATAGGAATCGGGTTATTTTTTAATTTTGTGGAAATCTGCCTGTAATGTACTGTGGATAAAACTTTTCATTTAGGTACTATTGTAGTTACAATATAATAGTAGAAGAATACATTTAAGATTTTCCTTATAGAGTTCAAACGAAAGTTATAATGTTCACGATAAAATTATCAAGGATTCCTAGAAGACCTGTTTACATTTTATTAAATGGTGTCAACTTGACGCAACTAATACTTATAAAAATTAATAAATTGAACACTAAACATTTTATTCTAGATAGATCGCTACAATACAATACAATATAACTATAGAACTATTACTACTATAAATTACTTCACAGCGTTATGTTAAAACTGTCAAACGGTACTTCTAATAAATGACGTATGACATCGGCAAATTCGTACAATCCGTTACGTGCCGTGTAGCCGATGTATGTGGACGGTCACTTTTGATATCCAATCTAGCTACTTAATATTACTCATGATAAGAGCAATTATAATATATGTTGTGTAGACTAATAAACTGTTGCCCATTAGGACTAATGTGGATAACCTTTATTCAGAGGTTAGTTTATTTCTCGTGTACTTAACTGTACGAAGAGAGAGTATTAGCACGTGATATGAGAATTACAATATCTAAACATAGATAGAAACCTCAATAACAGCTTCGACATTACTAACAACAAGTTCATAAATAAAGACTACAAGCATCGTAGAGATTCGCAGGGTCAAATATAGATAATATTTGACGTAACATAAAATAGCTAAATTATAGAAAAGAACCTACGAAACCTGCCGCAGTGTCAAGTGACATTTCAGAGACATCAGCTATAATAGCGCCGCTATCGGTTTATTCACTAATTATATCCCGCCCCAGTGCCGGCCGGGTTCAATGAAAAATGTCAGAAATAAAAAAGAATTGCAACAAAATCAAATACTAAAGTACGCCGATAAAGGTGTGTAATTTTGCTAATGACAAAAAAAAATTCTGCTTAGGTACTGCTGGTGTGAAAACTTTATACTTTTGAATACTGCGGACAAGGACTCATGTTCAAAAACAAAAGTATTTTCTTATATAGATATTGCATTTTTGAGTTACAAATAATAGTGGCGTAGACTTTCTTTATATTTTTATTTTATTATACATGAAATATATCTAAAAAAAAAATTAATTCATATAATAAGTTAAAATTTAAGAATATATTTATGTTAAAAATCTCCCGCGAAAACGCCACTTTTTTCATGGCGTCGTTATAACGTCATGGTCCTCTGAAACTAATATCGCACTATGTATACATAGGTACAATTCTCTATGTTCTGATATAAGTAATAGGAGCGTGACGTTACACACTGTTTAAGGTCACGTGACAACGAGTATCAAAATATTTGATTTTTCATAATTAATTTAAGCAATATTTTAAACATACTAAGTACAAATATGTGAATATTAGTAATAATATATTTAACACGACCAGAAAATAATATGTATTTATTTTCGTTTACTGTCTACACCCCTATTAGAGCAATCGTAATGTGTTTGCCATGCCATGCCGCCCCCATATACGAGCGCCCCAGGCAGTTACCTAGTTTTTATTTTTTTGCGTAATCAATAAATTACAGCGATACAATGAGTTAACATGTCACGTTATCTGACTGACAGACTACTTTTTTACTCAGCCATTTTTTTAATCATCCCTATTTCCATAAATTGCGTAATGATGCAATCACACAGTTTCTATTGTTGTGGAGCAAAAGCAATATATTTTGTGCTCCATGGCGAAGTATTTGAATTTCCTCTTTCGCCTTTCGCAAGTTCCGGTCATAGGATGGGTGACCAAAATTTATTGCCTTCAGCTCTTCCGTGAAAGGCACGTTGATCGCGGTAACATCAGCAGTCGTTACCCACCAATCCGTAATGAATCTACATGGCGAGTCACAGTCCATCCTCCTTATTTCGATTCGTTTTCATCCAAAAGGAAGGCCTATGATCTTAAGTGCGTATATTATTAGTCTGGTGGAGAACTTAATAAGCCAAGGGGCAGATTAACATAATAAGGCAGCTTCTTAGTACAAGCCATTTTTCAAAATTTGAAATTTTCAGAGCCGCAATTAATTTCGTATTTAAAAGGTTATATTATTCTTAACTTGGACGGAAATAAAATTTGTTACAACGTTACACTTACTCATTATTTTTAATGTCAGTAATATAAAAGACATTTTGAAATACATCTTAAACTGCGAACTAATTTGGATAACGTTACTTAACCCAGCAAAACATAAAATCAACAGCTTATCCAAAACCAAAATTAAGGTAAATATATTAAAACTTGTATTAGTTTTCATGTCCGATTGGGACAAGTTACTATTGTTATCGAAGTGCTTAGTGTAAGTTTTTGACGTTTACGTTCACCCTTGATTGTGAGCGCGTTAAGATTTTAGTATGTAAACCGGCACAGCGCCCCTAGCGACAACTATCAAGAACTAATAATCTTCATACAAATTCTTATCTCACTCACTAGTGAACGCGTGAACTCATTACTCTGAATCTAACTTGTATGAAGCTCCAACTGATTGTTCAAATAATTTAAATATGCACTTACTTTGCTAACCGCATCAGTCTTAATGTTTACCGCCATCAGACAAGGCGAGCTCTCATCAGATGAGCCCAACCCTTCGCCTAGCACATCCTCCAGCTGCGACAGACATCCCGGGGAACCTTTGTATTTGAGTGACCACTCGCTGTTTTTCACTGATCCCTCGGCAACGTATATTTCTACTCGGTAACGCCTCACCTTAAATATATAACAAAATCAAATCTAATATCTTGTAACAACGTCAAAGTGGGAAGCAATGCCATCGGTTCACAAATCTACGTCGAGATCTTGTACTGAGAAGAAGCGGCAAGAAACTCAGCAATGGTTGCTTTTATTATCCCTGTTTTATTTTATACAGAGAAGTCAGATTGAAAAATGACTTCATAAAAACCATGAATTCTCTTTTTTTATATACCTTTATGGTAAAAAAAAAATAAAGAATTTTTATGCAAGTGAGATTAAAAAGTAAAAATTCATTTATATACAACACGCATAATATAGAAAATGGACCCAATTAGTTAGTATACATAGAGAAGACTGGCACACTGGCAGTAGCAGTCGTTCTCAAGTATGACGAATGAGCCAGCATTTGTATAGTTCTACCATATTTTAGGGAACGTAACGACAATAATTATTATTATGTTTATAATAATGATGATAAGTCATAATGATATCAAGGCTTCAACGATGCCGTAATAGTTTAATCAGATATTCAATCCAAATTTTGAATACCGTATTATATTATGAGTCCATGTTATGGTATTTTGTTCAAGAATTAAATAATTTCAACAATAAACATGTGGCCTGAAAAAAACTTTTGTCGTGTTTTGCGGTCAATGCTAAAGATACATATGTATCTGCTTATGACGTAGTTATATGTAATCGTACTTCCCAAAAGCAGACTTTCTAAGAAATATATAACTTTTATTCAATGACTCATTTCTTAGGAGTTTTTATTTTGTTTGTTTTGCCCAAAGGTTGTAAATATCTTCGTATATGATCTTCGGTTTCGAATAGTATTTTTAATAGCAACCAATCAAAACTTGAACCAATAGCTGATACAGTGGATTATCCTCAAAGGCAAAACGAGCACGTACCCTTAAGCAACTTTGGTACATATGTTACCTACTGTTATTCCGAATGATACACTTGCATGATGAAAACGTATTCAAAGAAATGTTAAAAAATGTGAAGATATATGATTTAACAGGAACGTGCTTCATTGGTTTGGACATGCGGAAAGACTAACAAAATTATAGAAATACTCGCAAGTGGAAGTATGTTAGGGAGACCAATATTTCTTTATTTGGGTATTATACAGATGTGGGAAATGAAAAATATCCCATTTTCAGCTGTGTCTGCAATTGTCTAATCTTTTACTCATAATTTATAATACCTTATTAGAGGCAGCTTGCCAAAACTGTTCTTGTCTACGTTCACTGAATGAGAATCAAAGCCGTTGCCATTGAGGGCAGCAGCTTTACCACGTTACTACACTTAAGTACTTCGATTTCCGTGAAATTTAATACTGAGTGCTTTTGATTCAACCCGGTTTACTAATCGAATACATTGTAACAATATACCTAGTATTGAACGTTGAGCGCATTTTGATAGTCAGTAAGTTACGCGCAGATTCCGTCATCAACCGATTCAACATAATTTAGTCTAATACTGATGTCAACAATTTATTTATTATTTTTCTATATATATATATATATATGAGGAAATAACCTTAACACTGGCATAAATATAATTATCTTAGTATATTAGATAGATTACTATGATCGTATTTGTTGGGAATGAGAATCTTCAATGATAAGCAAAACGATTAATTAGGAGGTCACCAGACTATATCTATCACTATGAATAAGTATTATTTATAGATGGGTCGGTTCGTAAAATATATAATCTGTTAAGTAACTATTTCCAAACAGCTGATTTTATTTACAAAAACACTAAAGATCTGCCTGCGTAGGTAGTGGGCTGAATGTTTTGCGTTACTTTGGCATGTAAGCGCATCGCTATCTTTTTAATTAACTCAGGGGAGATGCACTTTATGTCTCTTAAGCAAGATTTTCCAGACAACACAACTGGCTCTATTCGGCGAGGTCGAAGCGTAGTTGGCCCACGTGATCAAACAGCCTGCAGACAAACCTTCATGTGGGGAGGATACCGGAGTCGACTCGGAAGGCGTTGGACCATCCCATACCTACTTACGCTAATCTCAGTCGACAAAAGTTCATTTATTATAAATTCGATTATATAATCTATTCAAAAGAAGAGTGAACAATAACTTTAACGAGAAAAATACTAATGAACGTGGATAGTAAAATCCTTATCTTTCGTGGGTCAAGATTTGACCGCTGTTTTGTCATTTGGATAAAATTATAATAGAGATGCATAAAGCAGATTTTATAAATCTCTTTTAGTATTAAATGTTTACTCGAATGTGACGTGAAACATCTAATAAATTTCTATCACTATTAAAAGTGACCAAAGTCGCGGTAAAAGTAAGAAATAATCCCTTTTTTACCATTAGACACAATTTCTGGCATAAATTTCCGAAAATAACGTAGCATAACTATATTGCTGTTTGATCGCAACATTTAAGTTTAGATAAAGATGCACAACTGCTTTGATCCTACATTTGTGCTGACCAGTAGTACTACAATTTGCGTGAATTCTGTGAAATTCTTATACTTTGAATGTTAAGTGGCATAAGTGTTTCTTTCTATAGATATTGTTTGACTAAGAAATAGCACCTACCTACTTTTACAAAGAATCGATCAATCGGTTAGGATAGGTTGAAACAGTGACCTAGACCTTAAAGCTATACCCAAGTTAAAACATTTACGCGCATTATCCATAAATGAAACAACTTTTCAACGGTTCCGAATACATCCGAATTTTAACAGAGATAAAGGTTGTATATACCACCGGCTTGGGATCCAGTAATTAGTCAAGTAAAATCTCATTCCAGATCACACATTGTAAAACCAAAAAATACAGATAGTTCATTTTGTGAATATTAAATCAAAGAGAGCACTTTTATTGTCAGAGTTTGTTTCGCCAGTTCTTCTCAGACAAGATTCCCTTTGGAACTGGTGGTAGATTACGGTAGCCAGGGGAAAATACAAGTCAAATGTATTTTTTAAATAATTTAATTTAATAAATGTAAACTTTGCCATTTTTTTGTATAGTAAATGTCTCTAATAGTATTTGGTTTGAAGGTAGCTATAATCTTAAAGAAGAAGAGAATCAATACCTTAGTGTTATGTTAAGACGGAACATGTAAGGGTCCGAAACGTCAATAAAACTAAATACAAACGCGATGTTTCATTTAATTATTATGCTACGTCATCATACCTTTAAATAAGCAAAGAATCTGAATATTATTTTATTTTATTACTACCGACAAAATTAATAATTGACGACGAGTGTAATTTTTCGACTGAACGACCTTAATTATTGAGTGATGAATTTAAATTTCATTTTCGCTTTTATTATATCGTGCGGTAATTTTTAATAATAACTGGTAAATATCAAACAGGTACAATACAGGTGCACAATAATATAATTTCCAATTACCGTAACATGTATATTTTAAGATGATGCAAAAATTCTATCGGTTTACGAAAACATATAGACATTGCTTTTTATATTGTTTTCCAAAAACAAAATACAAAAATTGCTTATATAAAAAAACACTTACCAAGAGTAATTTTTTAATGAGAATCTCGAAGTTTCCTTTGGAAAGCACTAGGTAATCCAGCTTGTTGGATTCTATGCCCATCCTTTTGATGTTTGAAATTGATGAGAAAACTTCTCTAGCAGCGGTGTGAGCGTCGACGCCATGCACACTGTAGTAGTCATTACGATCGAAGATTCGGACGGTGGTCGGTGGTTTCTAGGAAGAATATTCCGATACAAAAATTATTATAATGCCCGAGAGTAATTATCCGAATAAAGAAAAAGAATGGAACTTTAGAGGAGAATTATTTTTATTTATAGGAAATTAGTCAAAAGTTATGAAAGTCAAGGAAGCGATAAACATGTGCAAGGACCGTGTCTTATGGCGCTAGATACACAAAATTTCTGTTGTTGTAAAGAATGTATTTAAGTTTAAAAATAAACAGGTAAGTAAGTGATAAATGATATAATAACAATACAAAACATATATGTATACAAATACATCAGAGGCACACTGTGCACTAGAAAACTGTTTTTGAAGATTCAATTGTATTATTGTTATATTTTTACAAAACATATTGGATATATTAATTAAAATACGTCTTACAAAGTACGAGTATCATATAATAACTACAGATATTTATTTAAAAAAAATTAAATAACTCTAATTCATATATTTATATTTGCATATCCTGTACCAATCTAGGTAACAAAAGTATATTTCCAGAATATTTTAATATTATAATTAAATGAAAACGTGCTCGTTTTAAATTAATAAAAAAACATTATAAGGAAAATCGCATAATTAACACACCATTTTGCAAACGACATATTTAAAAGAAATACGGTCAAGGTATATCAGTTACATACTAATAATAAATAATAATGTAGGACTGGGTGATAATGATCTGAATAAAATAATTGCAAAAAAAACATAATGGAACAAAACAAACCATTTGTGTTAATTATTACATTTCAACTCTTCATAATCAAAGTAAGTAAAAAAAAACTAAAAAGAAAAAAACAAGCCCAGTAGTCTAGAATTCTGTTAAGTAATACTAAATAACTACACAATTGAAATAGTTTTTTGAAATACCTATTCAACGACACCCCACTTGACATAGTTCGTCGATTTTTTTTTTCATTTTTACAATATGGCGTCTGGTTGTCGCTGTGGAGAATTTTGATTACTGTCTTGTCTTTGTGACACTCGCAAGGTTAAGACGAATCGATTGACGTAAGAATCATCAATATCGGCCTACGCATTTGGTCTCTAGAACGCCACATAGAAACAAACATACATACATATAAACACATTACCCTCCTTTGCGTCGCGCAGTCGGGTAAATATCGTAGGTACTTCGTTTCGCTTTGCCAAACTTTTGCTTCACAATAAAAAATACGGAAGTAGTTACTTAAATGCGGCTTTTATGTTTATGTAAATCAAAACTATATAAAAAGTAAGGAGTATACTGTTATTATAGTGTAGAGTTTTACATTGTTTAAGCTGGAATCGAACAAAAATATTGATGATCTCTAACCTTGTTCTCGGTACACTACGCCTACGTTTTACGAAAATAAGTCATAACAACACTACACAATACGAATTAAATATTAAACTTGCTTAATTCATACTTTTCGACAACGACTAGGTCATCTAATGAAGTCATAATCTTGAGTCACATAACGCAGGTGTAACTTTTAAAGCTGTGGACCAAGGATTGGACATTTGTCATGTTTTATTTGCTGTATTGACTCCTCGTAGTTCCGAGAATTAAATATCTTCCATGACCGGTCGAGGTTATCGACAGCTGATAGAATACTAAACGACAATAAATTGACATCTCGCGAATGACCAATGTCAGTAAGTGCGCGACTACTGTGGGGTGAATTTCAGTAATAAGTGTAACTATATTGTTTTTCAATACAAAAGGTAATGAATATTAAATAAATTTATAATATTAACACTACATTAATATAATTTATGAATAGCGGAGTCACAGTCACGAAAAGCATCGAGTTTAACATTAAGCTTGGTATACCTAAATAGAAGTCCATAGAACAGTTTTAAATCAGAGCAGTCGCCCGGATTGCGAACGATCGTGGGTTCGATTCCCATCTCAGGGTGCCAGGGACCAAGTGGATTTTTTAAGCATTTTGTATTAAGAATAATTTTCAGTACCTATGCCATTGTGAATGCAAAATTAATCAAAAATATAGTAAAGATTTAAGCTAATTTTATAAAGAATTAATCTTCATTTACAGGGAGCCACAAAGAAGATGAAGCGTTTAATACTAGGATTAGCCATGACTTCATTAGTCATGGCGAAGCCAGAACTATATAGAGAAAAAGAGGATTTTCAATATTCACGAAGCTCTTCGGATGAAGGAACTAAATCAGGCTATTACGATGCCCAAAGGGGCAACATGGGAGGCAACTATGAGAAGGCTCACAACATGGATACATTAGCACAGCATCAAATGGGTGGTTTAGTTAAACAAGTGGATGGAGAATTAGGAGATGGGTCAAACACCAGAACTGGAAGTGTTTTCAGTTCCGCAAATTCCCGGGGTATTTATGGGTCAGGACACTACGATTTGAGTAATTTGGCAGGCCGCAATTTTCAGGAAGGCGTGTCTTATGGAGACTCACAACATGCCTCTTCATCGAACAGTGCATATACAGTGCATTCATCATCTCATAATAACGAGAGACACAGCAGCAGTGGTCACACTGGATATCAAGCCAGTAATGCACAAGAAACTCAAAATTTGTATGATGCTAAACAATATGAACGGGGAATGCCAACTGGACACAGTTCAATGCATCTTTCCCAATCTGGTTATAATGGACAAAACTTATACGGACAACGAGTATATACAGATAACTTGGCTTCTTCAAATACAGATTCTAACACTCATCACAGACTCATAAGCACAGTACCAGTGAAAATTATAGTAAGGCCTGGACAAAGCATTGCTGTACCAATAGCAACCCAAACACATAGTGGATTACCAATAGCAACCAATACTCATAGTGCTTCTTTTTATGATCAAAATGCTGTAAATAATGAAGCTGAAGTTTCAAGTACCAATATTCATCAACAAGCTTTACAACCCACTAATACTGGTAAGCATTACGAATCTTCTTATAGATATCATAAAGAATGGGAAAAACATGATACCCGACCTGCAGTTATACCATTAGCTATACCAACATTAGCACCGATCTCCAATAGTGAATTATATGATGATTCTTATGCACAACGTGGTACGCAGCATAGTGAGGCTAGTAATAGATACGAGCAGAATAGTGATTATAACTCTGCGTCTAGTCAATCACGATATCAAACTGATTTTAATGCTCGACATCAAAGTTTGGGATCATCAAATTCTCACATTCAAAGCGGTACCAATTCCAATTTTAACTCTCAATCTGCTAACCTTATCGGAATAGAAAGTTCGAAGCCTAAAAGTTATCAATCATCGTATTCTTATCATAAGTCATGGGAGAGACAAGGAGATCCGTACATAATAAAACCAGCATCTAACGGCGTGTATGAAGGTCAAACATCTGGTAGATTAACTGACATTACTGCAGCTCAAAACGGTTACTCTTCTTATAATTACGGGTCCAGGCGAACGCAAAGTCAACAAAGATATACGCAAAATAATTGTATGGTAGAATGTGAACCGAGTCACGACAGAGTTGTGAGGTCGTACAATTCCAATTATGATGATCAATTTCAACAGCAAAGTCAAAATACAGAAGATTTCGGTCAACAATCGCAAAATCAATGGGCCGACTTGACAGAACTCGGACAACAAACGCAAGCACAGTTGGTACAGACTGACAATTTTGGACAAACGCAAAACAAAGATAATTTAGAAGATTTTGGTCAACAAACACAAGACACATGGGATCAATCAGAAAGTAGACCTGAGCACTTTGAAAATTTTGGACAACAAACACAAAACAAAGACAATTTAGAAAATTTTGGTCAACAGACACAAAACACATGGGGTCAAACAGAAAGTAGACCAGAGCACCTCGAAAATTTTGGACAACATGCACAAAACAAGGATGATTTAGAAGATTTTGGTCAACAAACGCAAGACGCATGGGGTCAAACGGAAATTAGTGACCAACAAATGGAAAGAAAGCAAGAGCGTATTGAAAATCTCGGACAACAAACGCAAAATAAGGACAATTCAGAAGATTTAGGTCAACAGACACAAGACACTTGGAGTCAAATTGAAAATCTCGGGCAACAGACACAAACCTTGTGGAACTCAGATAGTACCGGGCAAGAAACGGAAAATCAATGGGGGCAATTAGATGATCGTGGACAGCAAACACAACATGATCTGTATACCGCAGGACAACAATCGCAAAGTAAGTCAAGCATCTAATCTTCGAGTCTCGCTACACTTTTTAATAAGCATTTAATAATGGAACTAGAAATAAGCATTCTATTATTTAGTGAACATCGGGTATATTATCATGTTTAATTTTGCCCATATAATGTCATTTTTTATTCATAAATTACGACGTAAAGTAAGCTTCAAACGATTTTATGCAGAATTTATACTGCGATTTAATTTTATTACATAATTTTAGCAAACAAATATTCATTTTATCTTATTTTATGTCAGTACGTATTGGAGGAAAGGATTTTTTAATAAATCAATTTATTTTTGTATGCTTTAGTGGATTATGGCCAGCAAACACAAGACATATGGGGAAAAATTGTCAAAAATGAACAATCTAAGAAATTTGAATCCAATCAACAAACAGTAAATAAGTGGTATCCTATAAATACACAAAATGTCGAACAGCCTCAGGCATCTACTGAAAAAAATGGTTCTAATTTAGATAACTTTAGCAATTCAGAACAAACAGAACAAGACAAATCCATGGAGCATTCTTTTCAATCAAATGATATGACTCAACAGACCTCAGGAATTTGGGACAAAATATATAATCAACATCAGTCATTCGAAACAAATAATGGAGCCCCTGAATTTCATCCAAACCAACCGCAAAACACCGGCGGTTTAAGTAACTTGTGGGGTAAATTAGACAATTTAGATGAAGGATATACGCAACATACTACAAACAATGAAAATAGCTATTTTTCACAAAGCTCAAGTTCACAACAATTCCACCAAAATTGGCATAAACAAGAGATTTACCAACATTCCAATAGTGATAAAGACTTTAATGAAAAACCATTCAATAATGCTGAGTTTGAATCAAATCCTCTCATCAAGCAGGAGAATGGCACTTTAACGACGTTTGACATTGGAAGTAATAAAATGAAAACAACTACTGCAATAAATAACGCTTATAAAAGTAGTACAGCAAAGACTTTTGACAACAACAACAAAGATATTACAACTACTACAGAAAAAGAAACAAATACACATGTATTTCGCCCTATAGATATAGGCCGTGGAGATATAGGACCTGAAGAATCGACAACCGATAAGGAAATTATTATCAGTCACACTACTGATAATAACTACCCTATTGATGAGCAAATTTCTGTAGTCAGTGATATTAACAAAGAGAAAATCACTAAAGAAATCGAAGATTTAACTAAAGAAAATAGCCATTACGTAGAAAAATATTCTGTTTTTACTGGCAATATAAATAAGCATGAGACTGAAGGCGGTAAGCCTATAGATGTAGAAGAAATGTCACCTGAACTTAATAAACACAACATAAACACAGAACTTATTGATCAGCAGAATACACAAACAGAATTTATAGATCAACAAAATACACAACAAGAACTACAAACATTTGAACAGAACTTCAAACAACAGAACCAACATTTCATTGAATCTATGCAACATTTTGAGACTCAGAACAATGAACAGTCTTCTAACTTTAATAAACAGAACAATGACTTTGATCAAAAACTCAATTTGAATTTAGAATCACAAAATACAGAACAACAATCTGTTGATGAATTTAACCAGCAAAGTCAACAATCAGTTCAGAATTTTGATCAAGAATTTGTGGACTTCAGTCAACAAGATCAAAAAACACAAAAAAATAATAAGGATTCAGAAATAGAGGAGTTAATACCAGAACCGGTAAATTTCCATGAACAACAATTAGAGGTGAGAAAAAAGGGATTGAATAATAGAGAACAAGATCTCGAACAGGCAGGTCAAAACACATATAATCACGACTACAGTGTGATTGGCATGGCTGATCTAAAGGAACAAGAAATGCCAAAAAGTGTGGTAGCTGAGCCTACTTCTACAGAGATTGTAACAGAAAAAACGGGATTCTGGAAGTCTGTAGGTAACAAGTTCACAAATGCCAAAAATAAAGTAGCATCGTGGTTCGGAAGTTGAATAATGTATAGTTATTAATAATAATAAATGAAGACATAGCTGTGATTTTTAAGTTATATTTATATGAGTGTGTAACTAGTAAAATAATAAATTGTGTGTAAGAGTGAATAATTAAATAGAAACACTTGATATGAGATTTTAGAATTAATAAATAAAAAAATGTCTTCCAAATGTGAATTTAGATAAATAAAATAAGTCTGTTACTTACATCAGGCAGTGAATTGAAGTATTTTATAAATGTTTGCTGCTGTACTGAATCTGAAATAAAGAAAATATATTTTTATTTTATGTCAACAGCACGTCAGTTTATAAAAATTTGTTAATTTTGTCCAATAAGAAATTGACATTATGTTGTACCAGATTTTGATGGCATAAAATAAAAAGAATAAATATCGATTTTCACATGGCAATATAAATTGTCAAAAGCCGATTTGATTTAGATCTGTAAGCGTAAAAGGCAGTTGTAATATTATTAGAAATTAGTAATAAAAATACGTAAAGTAAAGCTTCTTTTATTTATTCGTATTAGATTCTGGGTCAGGTAAAATATTATTGTGGTTGTTCTATCAGGTCGAGTGCTGTATATATAACATTAGATGTTGTTAATATAGGTACCTCGTGTGTTCATAAGTTTTGATACGAAATAAAATTTTCAATAACCATTAAATAAATAATAATCAACAATGAAAACATATATTTTAATAAAAATGATAGCCCTTGTTTTTAATACAGACCCTTAGACGATTTGGCCAGTCATCAATGGCGGCACGAATCTTTTCTAGCGGAATTCGCTTTACTTGTCAAACAAGGGTTCGCTTCAGTGACAGTGACAAGTTTGAATGGAATTTTCGGCAGGCCCTGAGCTCTAATTCAGTCCATAAACAATAATCCAGGTTGAGGACGGAGCTGGAGGAGGGCCACTCGTCCGCCGCGATGAAGGCCTGCACATCTACAAAACTTGGGTGCTATTTGCCCCGAGTCTTGCTGAAAAACTCAATCCTTATTCGAAATAACGTATCAGACAGGAGTTTCACCACGGGCTCTAAAATGTCAATTCTTGGTTTTCACCTTGAAACCTTGTTTGCAAAAATGGAGCGGAGCGACACCTTCATATGAAACTCCCCACCATACTAGCCGGATGATCCTTACTACTTTTAGCTTACTCTTTTCGACAGTAAAATTTTCTCGTTGGTGAAGAGTATCTTCTTGGCATCATGTCTCCTCAGCAGCAAGACCATATTTCAGTATTCTGTTCACTGAAACGCACGAAATATTACTCTGCAGAGCGATTTTCTTTTGAGTGCGACATGGATTTCGGTGAAATCACTCTCGGATGATTTTTTTTCACAGAGCGTGACTGACCACTCCTTTGGCGATTTTACAGAGAACTTGTCTCTTTGTACCGCTGTATTGTGTAATAGACGAAGTTACGGCTTACAGGAAACCTTTTCAGCTCGCGGAAAATCTGCATCGGTTTTTCCCGCCATGACAGTTGCTCGTAATTGTTTCGTTCCCTCCATCACGAGAAACTATTAACAAATGAATTTTTTCAGTAAAAAGTTTGTCTCAAAACTTATGAACACACGAGGTAGAGTGTACAGGTGTATATTTGTGTATTATAATTATACTAGCTGACCCGGCGAACTTCGTACCGTCTTATACCTGCTTTTTATAAATCTTATATACAAACCGTGTCATGAATAATAGAAAAAAAAAATATGACAATGAACACAAAAAATAGAATCATCCAATTTGGTGCAGTCGGAACTGGAATTCTGAAGTTATGCGCGTACATACGTTTCGGCGATTCATTTTTATTTATCGATATTTAATAGCTCGCTTTTATTTTTCGATAACTCATTAGTTATGTTTTTTTTTTATATAGTGTAAAAGGCAAGTTTGATCTACATTACATATATAACGTATCTAATTTATTTATTTGAATAAGGATCAAAACTCTATTGTTATAAATAGGTTCGTAAATAAGGCATATTTTTTTCCGACATAGGTATTGAACTAATATCGTTGTAATATCGTCAATTTGTACAAAACCTAAACTTACTATACACTAAAACCTTCCTCAAGATTTGCTCTATCTATTGTTGAACTGCATCAAAATCCGTTGCGTAGTTTCAAAGATTTAAGCATGCATACATAGGGATAGTGACAGAGAAAGCGACTTTGTTTTATACTATGTAGTGATCTCACGTAGTTGGCTAATCTACTCGTATTAAAGAATTTGCTGTGATCTGAATTTGCTCAGGAGTATGTTCAATGCTATCAGGCAGTTATTGAAAAGTTTTTATTAATTTCACTAATATGAAGACATCTTTATTCTTTTTTCCCAATGTTGATTTCTACAAATTTAAATTTCCCGAAATGCCATCAGATTCTGGTACACCTATAGATGATTTAACATTTTGAAAAACTTTTGTTAACATTATATTTGACATTTATTAGTTTCAAATACTGTTTAGTTTATTATATTTTCCATTGTTTTATCGTATTAAAAGAGGGAGAAAAAAACAGCGACGGTAATTACGCGACGCATTATCAGATATTGTCGGGGATACTGCAATATCCCGTCACTAAAATTTCTAAATAAGAGACAATATTACTATCCCGGACGTTATGCACCTAAGAACTGCAAAATCGTATGTATTTTTAAAATACATAACCTTATTCAAGACGACCAATAACCAGGACGCTGATTAAAAAATATTCAAAACATACCAGTATATGACGGGGGAAAAATATCGCTAGACGTGTTGAAAACGAATACAACCAAAGCTTGAATAGGGGAGTAAACAACTTTTTAAAAATATTTTTATTTTATAGATATACATGGAATAAATCAAGAAAAAACATTTTAGTAAGTATCTGAATGATAATGTCTAAATTTTTTTTTTAAATCTGAAAATAAATAAGGCTAAATTCATCCTTACATATCCAGGGTATACAGGGTCTGTTTAACGGTTTGCTTCGAAATTCAAACTTTGTTACGTAAAGGTCTATTGCTTTAGTTAATTTCTTATAAATAGTAGCCAGGATGTTTGGTTACAGTATCTGCAATACTTGGTTTTAGCCATGTTTTCTGATATAATTGTTATTGTGGCTTTTAGGAGTCAAAGATTGAATATTCGTAAATAAAATCTTCTAAGTGGCTATAGTCGAAAATGGTTCATTTGTAGCAGGTGATCTGCCGTTTGTTGAAGTCTGCATGTAAATTTTGTATGTGAGTGCATGAATTCTTTTGATACACTCTTAGTGATCATGTTTTTTCTTTTGGCCGATCAGATCATTGATTCCGGTACATCGTAAATTATGATATTGCGTGCCCTGTTGTCTCTTTCAGAAAGTTGTTGAACTTCCTGCGACAAGTCATTCAATTTCTTCATTAGAAGCAACTGTGCCATAGACGTCTTGCTATCTTCACACAAGAATGTAACTACGCGAGCAACTGTTTTAAGTTCAAATAATCGAATCTCCATAGGTGACAATCCATAGCAATCTCATTTTCATTTCATTTCAAAGGAAGGAGTTGTTTGAGAATTGCTTTGCATTCACAGTGATCTTATATTCTACTGAAATTCTATTTCAACCAACTTTTGTAATACCATAACTTACTATATTTTTAGCCTTGTTATTAACTAGTAGTTGGCCAAACTTAATGGGATGAATTAACACACCTGATGAAGGATCTGTTTCAATTTTAGGATATGTATTATTGTATAGACGGGGAGGTGTATAGACCAGGAAAGTTAACTGTGGGGTCTGTCTGACTAACTGCTGTGATTATTCTTTTAGGTGTGTTAATCAATTTGGGTTCAATTTCATTTCAAAGCTTAACTCCTGTCTATATGAATAACAAAGGAGAAAATTCCATCATTGATAGTGGTATAGAAGCCCAGTCAGGAGGATCCTGAGATTCAGGATGGATTCTTTCCATTGATTACTTTGTAATCAGTGGAAGGGATAGAGAAACAGAAATATATAACTACTTACCAAAATGAGCTGATATTACTAAATAAAAACACTATATTTCGTGGTTCCACATAGAAAATAAGTTATATTCACATAAATAAATAAAGAAATTCCTATAGCATGTGAGAATTTCAAATATATTCTTTGTGGTATTTTTGAAATTTTGATGTCATCAAAATAATGTAAAATTGCTTATTTTCAAAAGTACTAGGGTTACATATTGAAAATGTACAGAAGATTTTTTATGCAAGTTGGATTCTCTTTGATTGCTTATTTTATTTCATAAAATATATAAAACATACCTAGTTTTTAATTTAAGAAAACAGGTAAGAATGGGCTGTGCCACCATTGTCATGGTCTTTGTTAACCCAGGGCCTCGTTAATTAATTCATGCTATTTGTTTTAAAGCTGATCCAGGAAAAAAACAACCCATATATTTTTGTTTGGAAGAAAGGAGCCTCAAATGATATTATTACATAAGTGTGCTTCTCGCCAGTTCTCTATTCTTGACTTGACTTACCTTGACATCCTCTTGCATTTAATATATTTTGTTAAAGAGAGAACATTTAAGTTCATAATACTTTCTGACATTCAATTTTGTTGCCCTACATTTTTGTCACATTAGGCTATCACCCTTTTTCATAATTTGAAGAAAATTTGTACTCCAATTGGAGAATTGTAGATTGGTACCCTAATATTAAGAGATAATATAACATGGCATACTTAAGTTTCATTCTAATTAGATATATTATACTATTGCACTTGCACTGATGAATCTAGCCAATTTTGTCATAATAAAGTGAAGCTAAAATATTTCTGATATCTATCAACAGGCACAATGATGAATGTGTTCAGAAAACATAGTTTAATCATATAAAATAGTTACCATTATGAATCAACTACATAGTAGTAAACATGTATTTTACTATTATTATCAGTAGTCCATTAAATTTGTGTATTTTTTCCTTTGGACAGCATTTGAAAATAAGTAAATCCACAAACACTTTGATAGATTTTTTATGGATAGTATGCAAAATTACCTATATCCAATGATGTATTAAAGAGTTCATCTTTTTTAATTAATGGCTTATCTGTGCATTTTGCACAATTCTACCAAAGTCAAGTAAATAAATGAATTTTTACATGTAAAATGAAAATGAAATGAATGAAAGTTCTTATATCTCTTAGATTAATAAGTTCCACATATTGACATTTTGGAAAATATAGACTTTTTGTATCCCTTGCATATAAAGAATGTTAAAAACATCTGTGAATTTGCTTTTTTTAAACTGAGTCTATTTTACTCGTGCAAAGTAGGTAAAATAAAAGTATTTTCTAAATAACCGATTAGGATTTCGTTTCGTCGAAACGAAATCACTATCCAAGGACCACTTTTTATTTGGTCAGACACTAAAAAAATCACAAAAAAGAGTATAGTTACGCTGAGCATTTATATGAGACATCCTCTAATTCAAAATGCTAATTACGGTTCTATGCTATCATGCCACCTTTAATATAAATTAGCATATTTTCGTAATATACAAAAACTAAAACATTGGCAACTGCTTATCAACAATACAGCGCGACTTACCTAGACTGAGAGCGTGAATGGGTTGTAAGGAAGACATTTCTTATATCTTATATTATTCAAACAAACTGCTTTTTGTTCACATTAATAAAATAAAAAGTTATTTTATTTCGCAAAAACAAAAATCAAATTGACAGGAGCAGTGACATAATGGCGCGAATTGTTGTGTGACAGTTATTTTTTTAAAGCAATGGCTTCATGGGATAAAGCGATTTGATTTTTGGAATTTATTTTAGTACATTTTGACTGTGATTTTTACTTAAAATGGTACATTTTGATGTTCTTAATCTCGGAATCAAAAATTGTAGAGATAGATTGTAATAAAATGTGCAATAACATTTTTTTTAGCTTCACTGAGCTACTGGTCTAAACAAATGATATAATAAAATAGAATCTTATCTCTTATAGAGTCATCTCATATAGTTCGTAGCGGCACAGTATATCGTCAATATCAATCACTTAATTACAAAAAAAAAACTTGTAATTAGGTAACCAAAAATATTCAAAAATAACTATAATTTAACTGTGAATTTTTCCTATCTACTATACAGTAATTGAACAGCATTTGTACTAAAATAACGATGAAATCTTTATTCCTTATGAAATAATATTACTTTATTCCATAAGAAGTAATATTTAAAAATTTGAAATACTTATTTACTATCCTATTTCAATGGAAACTGCAAACGACAAAATGCGATGCACCGTACGTCCGAGCTCAATATGTGTGGTGGCGTAGTGAATTAGTTTGAATAACTTGTAATAGAGCTTAGATTAATAATAGAGCTCTAATAGTTTCAATAGTTTTGAATAGGAGAAGTTTTTGCAAATAATACAGAAATTGCAATGGCTCATTTAATTTCCTGTAGATATCGATCCTTACTAAATGATCAATATAATAGTCTATTTATTATGATAACTTCTAAAATATGCAGTACACTAACTTTTGACATGGCTGTATAAACTAGATCTTTTTGATTTATTACAAAACAACAACAAAAATGTCAGAATGTACTCGACAGCAAGTATTGCCAAATTGAGCAAACATCCCCTATTTTGAGGGACTATTATTGATGCACACAAAGGTTGTTTTGGAAAGAAAAACAGATTATGGTTGAAAATGGCTAAACCGTTACAAACATTTTAATATTTTCTGCACGCTTTCTGAAGTGAGAAAAGTACAAAATGTCAACTGATTATTCTCAAATTGAACTTAACTCTTTTTAGTTTTCACTAGGCAAAAAGTTTTAGTTTTTATCAAACTGCTCTCAACTCTAATCTTTGAAAAAACTAAAATCAGAAACTAAAACCTGTTTAAGTGACGTTTATGCACAGTTTCCAACGTGCTTAACTTTGAATACTGGATTCAGAAACAGGGTATGATACTCTAAGAAAAATTTAAGTAGTCTATTATATCTGGACATAGCGAAGGACTATTGCTGTAAAATAGTGAACTTGAAAAGCGATCTTTAAGGCATGAAGAGTACCAATTCAGAAAGTTATCGCCAAAACTAAACGATGAGAGTTTGTCTAAAAAGATATGATGGTTAACCTTGTCAAAGGTAATGCGTTTATATATATGCATAATTAGATCATCCAAGAAAGTAGTTAGATTTCTTGCAGTAGCGCGGCCCTTGATAAACCCGTGCTGGTTTGGTGTAATCTACTGTTTAATATGCCATGATATTATTGGATATATCGGTAACTCAAACAACTTCGAGAAAACAGGTAGAATTGACATAGGTCAATTCTACCTGTTTTCTCGAAGGTATACATTGTATAATTGTTACATTCTCAATATCTCCTCACTTAAGGACTGGCACTGTAAGAGCTGTTTTCCAAACCGTAGGAAACGTTCCTGAGGACATTGATTCGTTGAACATTTTACACAAAGGGTATGACAATTTCACAGCCTAATTCACTGTTGATTGTGATGGAAAGGTTTTAAATAAAGTGGATAAATTTGATAGTTTTATATAGTCTTATGTGCTTTTGACTGTACATACTGTTTTAAGCAAACATTCAGTTCTACGATAGATAAATATTTTTATTTTCATATACGAACTCTTTCCAGAATTGCTTATTATCATTGTAACTCATTGCATTTCACTTTACCAGCATATTCATAACAGGACATCCATACTGCTTACTGTCCCGCTTGGTTATGAAGCAGTTGGCTGGTGGTGAGCTTTCACTTACAGACATGTCTGTGCCCACGCAGATAAAATGAGATTTCGCGATCTGCCGACAAGTTACCAGAATGCCTACGACAGAACCATACATTACTAACTAGCATACATTACGCAGATCATAGTAGCGAGGTCTAGAAGGCATGTCTGTAGATGAGGTAGCCCATTAAGAGAACTCTCGCAAGTACGCAATTCATACGATCATGATCTTATAGTTATGTATGACAAATTCGTATCCATAGTGAGGGTAGCCTTATTAACAGTACAAATTATTAGACAATTTTAAATATCTGGAAAGCAAAAAACTTTTATGAACATGTCATATTTTGGAAATAAATTATTCACTTTTTTCTTACATCCAAATACATAGCAATGATGTTTTATTGGATAATATTACAATCTACGATTAATATCCTTAAAACAAAATGCTTGAAAAATCCACTTGATCCCTGGCACCCTGGAAGGGGATTCGAACCCACGACCTTTCGTAATCCGGGCGACTGCTCTAACCACTGAGCTACCCAGGACCTAACAGGACTGACGAATCTTTCCAGCACTTGTTACTTTTTGCTACTACAGAGCGTATTCTCATCAATGTTCAGGTATCCAAACCATCCATATAAATCGATTAATAATTAAAAAAACTTATTTTGTGAATGACGTTTGAAGTTCATAAAAAGCTGTTTAAAGTCTGTCTCACGAAAGAAGTCCCGCAGTATAAATCCTTTGTAATAAAAGCGAAAACATTGTGATCCAAGGGACTTCTTTCGTGAGGCAAACTCTACTACATGTGTGCTACTGTTGTACTCTGTCAACAGAAACTTGCATTAATTATCCTATCGGCAGTTTAGTTTTAATAGGATTCCAAGAGAGGACTGGGAACATTCATAATGGCATCTAGCAACACTTTTGTAAGCTGTCAAACCAGATAAACCAAAGAGAATTTAAACACTACGTTTTTTATAAACATTGGGTTTGGTCTAGTTTGGTTTGAGATGGTATGGTGGGTGATATTAATGTTTTATTTTATAAATTATGTTGATTTTTAAGTGTGGACTTGTTATATTATCATCAACATTCATAGTGTCGTAAGTATTTACAATAAGTTTATTATATCCAAATAATTTATTGTCAATAATATCAACGAAGTATATGTTGATTATAATTTATAGGAATATACCATAAAAACCTCACAAAAATTAGGTATTATCCTAAAGTGAGAGAATATGTAGGTACTGAAATTATATTAAGGCTAATTACTAGATTAAATTTGTGGATTTTTAACGCATTTTAAGGACTTTCACTTTCTTTTTTTTTCTTATAAAATAATAATTGCCAGCCAATCATATGGTTTATTATAACAATACCGTTTTTCTTTTCAGTCTCTGCTTTCAAGTTGCACAAGAGACAAATTCCTTGGATATTGGCCTTGCTTTTTTGTACTTAGCCAGCGGAGCAATAGGTAAGTGAGAGGCAAAATATTTATGTTATGTAAACTTCAGTGTTGAAATTTAGTAACTCTTAAATATAATAACAGTTCACTTTGTTCTTTTAAGTAATTTGGTTTGTTTATCATTGCATGTTATGATTTCATCAGATTAATGTATGTTAATTGCAAGAATTACAGTTATTAAATAAGGCTTGGTTATTTAATACTAGAGATGTGCCGAATATTCGTTTGGTGTTTGTTCAGCATATTTTTCACTATTTATATTCAGACAAATATATTCAGTTTGAGCACTTATATATTTTTTGGCTATACAACACTGTATGCAACTAATATATAAAACTTCTTTACTAAGATTTGTTATATTATTAGTCATAAAAAGCCAAGGAAATAAAAAATATTAATTTTATAAACTACTGTCAACATTTTTAAATTTCAAATTGAGATTTTTGTAAGGAGCAAATTGACAAAAATAGACACTATAACAGAGATAAAATCAAAGATAAGCAAAAAGAAACATTAATGTTCAAATAATTTTATAATTAATTAATGGTAAATTATGGTGCAGAAACACCAAACTCTCGGCCCTCTTCGGCAAGAGTCTGTTATATAGTTTTTCATATAGGATGTTTGCATCTGAAATAATCATTAGCTATTCACACACTACTAGCAGGAGCTTTGAGAAACACTGGTAAAATAAAAACAATAAAATTGTAAGTTTGGTTATGCTTAAACGGAATATTTGGTATTCTGTTATTTGGTGAAACCAATATTGGCACATCTTTATTTAATACTGTTGTTGTTTTAGTATTTTAATCTTCAAAACATTCAACAACACCCCTAACATGTCTTTATCAATGTGTTTACATGAAGAAAGGGTTCAGATTTTATTATTTAAGTTAACAATACTAATGAACATGTTCATAGCTATGTTATTAAAAAAATATTTTAAATGCACTTATAAACTGGATATATAAACTTATGTTTTCATTAGTGTCAAGATATGTAATGAGTATTTCAAGACATGTTTAATTAAATCAAATCAAAGATATTTTTACAGTGTTCCTAATAAAAAGTTTTCGCATTCAATTGCATTCAAAAGGTATTATAATATGAATATTGACTAATTAGTATTAGTTAAATGCTATTGTAGCAAAATTTACACGAAAGTTAAAACATTTATTATGAACAATTTACTTTTTGCAGGCTGGGTATCTTAATTTAAATTATTAAATACCTAATGCTCTTGTACTTAAGTTTTTTTAAGTATTGTCAATCTTGTATAACTGTTGAGACAGGAAAATGAAATTGTTCAAAGATTGGTTTTATTTGAGTTCAAAATCAAAGTCTTAATCTTAGTATGATTAGGATATGGCATTGGAATATAGGTTTGGTTTTGGGTCTTCAATTTACCGCCCTTAAGACTATAATTGGTCCATTGTGCGTGAAAAGTTAGTTGCCTTACTCCAGGCAACCCAACAACGCACAGAAGCTTTTTAGGGTCTTCACAGGCTTTGCGTAGTGTTGATGGTTTGCCCAGTACAGGCCTGTCCAACATTCGGCCCCCGGGCCATCATCCGGCGCACATAGACCCTTCATCCGGCCCGCCAACTCTTAGAATCTTTTAAAACTTAGCACATACGTCAAAATTAATACCGCAACTCCACTATACCTGGAATTGATACAGTGGAGAACATTTTTGAAACTGCTAGAGCTCTGAGTTACTATATAAGTATATACTAGGCCCCCGGTGTGCTGCCAGTAGTGTTGCAAGACGTCCCGCATTTAGCGGGATGTCCCGCTTTTCAGCCCTCTCAGGACACGTCCCGCCAGACCCCTGAGCGGGACGCCTAAAATCCCGCTTTTTCAGCCATACCGGTAATCACTATGTGAGTGAACGACTGCCGACTATGCATGCGAGGCGCGCGATCTCATATAAAAGAAGTTCCTTTTATGTTATGTTTTTGTTTTTAGAGTTAAATGTAGTAGCATACATACATTGCGTTATACCAAGGTATGAGAATGGACAGTTGCAAACAAAATCGGCAATGTATGCCGAGCTAAATGCGTTTCAAATAAAAATTTGAATGAGTTTCGATATTGTAAATGTTTTATTCTGTCCCGACTTTTTCACCCCAGTCCCGCTTTTTTTTATGCTAATGTCCCGATATTTAGAAAAACGAATCTGGCAACGGTAGCTGCCAGGCTCTCAAATTTCAGAATTATCTGAGAGATGATTACTTCTGAAGATGTATGAAAATAAATAACGAGTTAAGAGAATACATTCTAATACGTTAAAAAATCTTTGTCCTGATATACTGTCTAATTTATTTATATAGTTTTCACATTGATATTGCAATTCTACGACCTTCTTAGTCGAGTGGCACGCACATCGGTTTCAAGGTGTCGCCATCCCTGCGGTCCTAGATTCCATTGCCCGTTGGTTCAATTTAGATTTTTTTATTGTCTCATCTGTGGGTGTTGTGATATGTTCGTTATCTCTGATACTTTAAAATTGCGCAAAATAGAGCTTTACATACTCGTCTTGGAATCTGAGCAATCAAGAAAAAAATAATATTTATATTTTCGATGAGCAAAAAAGTATTGTATAATAGTACAATTGTATTGTATAAGAGTACAGTGTAGTTTTTTGGTTGTGATTCATTGCTGTTACTCACAATTATAGTTCCATTGACTCATAAGCAAGTCAATAGAACTATAATTGTGAGTAAAAGCAATGAATACCTAGACTGAAAATTTTAACATTTTTCACTATTTTCTTCACTGAGAAGCTCCAATGCCAATCCAGCTATTTATTGATGTAGAAGTGTGTCCATACAGACTCGGATCTTCGATTTTTTTCCAAACAGAGGAGAAAATTGGTATTGCACCTTTACAACCCTCCCCCCCCCGCTCATTATGATGATTTTTAACCCTCCCCTAGATCTGGCCCTGTGTCTTTAACCACTAAATTCCTATTCAGCGATGTTACTGGATCAAAATATCTCAGTTTTTACCATTTATAACATAATCTAGAATTAGACTTTCGAATTTCATAACCATATACCTTCCTTCCTTAATAATTGCACACGGCTCATAATGATATCGTAGGATATTCCCCAAGTAGTCTCTAGACCAGTGATTTCCTAAGTGGTCCAGGTGGACCCCCAGGGGTCCACGAGGGATTCAACGTTGGCGTGAAATAAAAACAATTTCCATCGTTAGATCTTCACATTTTGGACGAATTTTGGGAATATGGTAAAAATGTAGCAGCAGGGGGTCCATCGAAACCAATAAATTTTTTAAAATGGTCTACGGGGATAAATTGTTTGGCAACCTGCTCTAGACTACTAGAAAATTCGGACGGATGCCGTCTCTCATTAATCTACTGAACAAAATGATTCAGAAGATGTGTCATTCGGCTTGAAAGTGGTATTTCAATATGCAAATAATCTATAAATGTTTTTCTTTTGTAGACTTATGTATTTTTAATGAAACATCTAATCTCCTTGTTTTTAATAACAGTGTAGTCAAATTTATAAGCGCAGATGTATTAGGTACAACTCTAGAGTTGCTGAAGATACTTTGCTCTAAATACTTTCGCTACCCATGTTTAAGTTCCATGAATAGGTTCAATATGTTTACTTTGGTAGTAGTTTAAGAATATAACTAATTATGGTTTCATAATCTGTGGCAAAGGTGTATGCCTAACTTTCGTAAGACATGCTTATGAAATGTCCAACCACAAGCTTCGCGTCAATTTCCTTTGGAAATTAACAGCTCCAACTCTACATGACGGCAGCATAAACCCTATTATGTATTACCTAAGACAGTTATATAACGCGAACGAAGACCGAGAAATCTTGACATAATTACGACCTACCATGAGTTTTGAAACCGACCTAGTTTTTTATTGCCTTTATTGGTATATTGCATCTATTTTTATTAAGACAAAAACACAAAAGGTTCTATATGTCTCTCAATATATATGTCGTTTAAATAAATGGTACGTTTGCTACCCCTTTTGTTACTTTTGTTCGTAGAGTTAAATGTTAATACATAGGAAGATTATGAAAATAGTTTTTAATAATAGAAGTCTTATCTATTTTTATATTGCATTGTTAAGAGGGAGTAGTCGAAAAGAGATAGACTGATTAAACGAAAGGGGTTAAATCTTGATACAGAAAAGTTATGTATTTATGGCAAAAAATATATTTCTTTATTTAATACTCAATGCACAATTGTATGCATTCTCTTTCAGACATCCTTTGAGTGATGTTAAGATTCAATTATAGCGAATGTAGGTGCATAATAAAGTACAGTGTTATTAACATACACAAATAACGTTAAGGGAGAAGACTGTTTCCAATCCCATATATACTTTTGATAGATTTTTTTAAGTGTCGTCATTAAAAGTCGTTAATTTTTGTTTAATTCACATAAACATTTTCTTATTTTGATATTTGTTTGAACTAAATAATCAGATAACATTGTGCTAACCCGTTTTTTGCAGCTGGCAAAATCGTCTATGACAGATACCAGCATATACATGTACTAGGCTCACTAACACCGAACCCAAATGTGACTTCCTTTGCGAATAAAATAGCTTCCTTCTCCGCAACATTTTTGTCAGCGGGCTTCCTGGTATATTTCTTATTATTTTTATTTAAGGTAAGGTTCTAACTATTTAACTCTTTCATAATTCAATCATTTTGAGAAATCATCTGTAACATAATAATAACAAAATAATTTTTGATGTTTTACGTATAAAATTTTACATGTGATCTTTTACGGAAATAAAATGTTGCTAACTGTACACGAGGACCAATTCTTTTCTATACTTATAATAGAAAGAGGAACGATTTGATTGTTTTCATCGCAAAGGAAAAATATATCTTCGATTACTCGAAGCTACACAAGTCGCGGCAAAAAAAACAACAGTAAAATTTATGTTTAATGTATTATTCTTTAAACTCCAAAGAAGGATAGAAACGTCCAGCTACTAATAAAATCCAATACTATATTTTACAACTTACAAAGCTACATGTAGATTCAGTTCATCGATCAACGATCCGTTGATCTGTGTTAATTTTGCAAACGTTAATTTTTCAAAAGCAAATTCATCTGACTTTCTATGATAAGTGAAATTTAACGATTATTAGACAATTCAGAGAACATGTCTCAATAATTTACTTCTCATTCCACAGGTGGGTAATAGCTGCCTAACCGCATTAAGTATTTTCATATGCGGTTTCGGGACATTATACATATGGATGCAAGTGAGTAACTATATCCGATTTCAAATATCTATTCTACTTTTTTTAATTCAACGTGTCGAATGAACTAAATACTTTTATGACTTCATGTGTGTACGTTTTTGAGTTCTAATTCTATAAGCATAAGGTATATAAATTGTAGTACACTTTTCGTATTCGGGGCCGTAATGAACGGAAAGAAAAATGAGCAATTATGAGTCACGTTTGCGAGCGGCTCCCCTCCTCGGCGAGATAGAATCAATCAATTGAATACGTGCTCGTTTAAAAAGCCGCATTTCATTTTGCACTATTTCCTATTGGAAGATCAGTTTCTCTTCAATTTGTGTAAAAACAGTATGATTTTGCCTTGAAATAGGAATCTAATTATGAAAATCGTCATTTTTAGTATTATTGATAAACAAGGTTTAGCGTTAGAGTATATTTACGCTAAAATTGCAATTTTAATATTAGTTCCAATTCATACAGAGAATAAGCAAACCTACTAGGAGTAAATATTAGTCCTGTAGAACCTGGCGCTAGGTAAACTTTTGCTAAGTCTGTTTAATATTATGAATTTTGACTAATACTTAGTACAGTCTCAGCGTAAATTTACTCCAACGCTAAATCTTGTTTATTAATAACACTGTATCTGATTAAAAGCTAACACAAAAATTCTCGACAAAGAAAAATGAAGTCACGCACGTAAATGTTGTTTCAAATACATTGTTTCGGTGGTAATTAGAATCAGCTATTTATCCGGCTCGAAGGACAAGATTGTTTAAAATTTTTTATAGACTAGTAACTAGGAAGATTTTGATTGTTTGTTTGCATCAGCATAGACTATAATTTTGTAAACAATTTATCTTTCATATTGCGTGCAATAAAGTATTTTATTATTATTATTAATTTACACGGGCGATCACAGTAGTTTATAATAGGATGACATATCCGTTGTACTGTCTAATTTTTGTCGCGTTTGTTTTCAGTGCATAATTACTACATACGTAGCGACTTTATATTATGATAAGCACTTGTCGATACTGAGACAATGTCTTGCCAACTTAAGTTTCCTCCTTTTGGTTGTGATGGCAGTATTCGGTACTGTGACTTCGTTTTTGCCAAAAGGTATGTAAATATATATATATATTTGCAATGCTTAATAGTTTATTTAATTCTTAATTATGAAAACTGTTTAGTTATTAGTTATAATTTGATTCCTACGACCTCCATATCCCAGTTGTTCGCACGCTTGTTTCAAGATGTCACAAACAATGTAGAAAATGGGTTATTGCCTCGGGGCTGGATGTTGTGGTACCTTTTTTGTCTCAGATATCCCATAATACGGGAGTTTTAGCTACTCACCTTGGAATCTGAGCAATGTATGTGATATTGACTAATATTTATTTATGTCAGCTGAATTTTGATACAACTTTAAAATAAAAGGACTGATTTTTTCGATATTAGACCTTGAATAACTTTTTCAGCCGGCTATTATTGTCGATTTTATGCTTAGCTTACTGATTTTTTAATTTTTTTCTGCATAATGACGGGCCTTTTCACTGTTTTCTTACTTATTTAGATGAGATTATTTTCGTTTCGTGATTTTTATTTCTTTTTAAATAGTAAATTGTGCAATAAAGTTCCTCGAGCACCGCAAAAATCTGTGTCGAGAGCTATTGTAGTTAGAATAGCTATTTAATCGAACTCAGTATTCGATTTTAGTTGGGCGAAATCTTTTCATTTGTTTTTTTTTTTAAGATTGTGGTATTAATATTATCAATTTTATCCTTACAGGTGGCACCAGTGGTGTTTACTTATGTGTTCTAATCACTTCCCTGTGTAGCTATATGCTGGCAGCAATATTTTGCGTTTTCATATTATCATTTGAAAGGGAATATGTATATTTTTCTGAGGTAAGTGTCCACTTCAATGCTTAATCTCGGTAAAATGCAAATTTCAAGTTATTATTTAGGATTCGATTTCCACTCAGCTTTGGTTTCACGGTATTTATCTTATCAAATTTAATTATTTGAAAAGTTGCTCTTCGCATAGTGCAGATGACCCGTTTTTGATAACTGGCCCCAATTTGGCCATTTGGGCAATTAAGTATGTATATAACTTTACCCTGTAATGTCTTTAAAATATTGAATTATGGCAAAGCTGTGATGTGTTATCTTTCACTTCCACGTAACTCATAAATTGGCCAGTCAGGTAAAGTCTCATAATGACTAAATCCGTTAACCCTATCTAAAATTGAGACTGTTTTCAAAGTATCTACGAAATTAATTATAGGTATGATTAAATTATTTTCTCTGATTACAGGGATTAAGATCTGATATGCTTCTCGACGATGACTGTTCATTGGGCGATGAATCGTTAGCCGACGTCGACAGCCTATACGGGACCCAAGAGTTTAACTCTAATCCTATTGTAATAAAGGACAAAATCCCATGCGGAAAAGTCTCCTGACCTGAGGCCGTGCCCCCACCGGGCACGCCTCCAGAACGTTCTACCATCAAAACTCCAAACTCCACATTCTACGGTAGTTTCGGCAGTACGAATTTAAAATTATCGAACAACATTGAAATAAACGAACAAGAAGTGGATAATGACAGTGGTATGTCATCAGAGGAGAACGAAGACTCTCTCAAACTAATAATAAGTGCATCTAAAGAAGTAAGTAATGTAAGTTCAAATTTAGACGATAAATGTGAAGTAATAAAGTGCCTAACTAGTGACCCTATTCGTGCTGAACATTGGAATGAGATTCCGTGTTGTTCTAACCATGTTAATAATGTAAGTGTTGAGGTTTTCGATAAAACCGGGCTTAATCTGGATAGTGATACAGTAGATGGAGTTAATAAAAATGTTACGGACTTTATTGTGATAGATTTGGCATGTGATGTCAATAAAGTTAGCGATGAAAGACTAGAAGACAAGATTGGTACAAACGATCAGTCTAGTATACCCAGTGTAAGTTCCAATCAAAGTTTAGTTCCTGTCAACAACGAAATTGTGAGCTCTGAGAATCAGAAATTAGTTAGTCTATCGCTATCTATACTTTTAGCTGCGTTGCTACAAGCGATGCGGTGTTTTGCGCAGTTCTTAGAGGACATTGTAGTTCCGCAACGGTATTAAATATTCGTGTTCCTTTATATTTTTTGGTGCATTATTCACCTGTTAGTGATTAAGTATTACGTATTACAGAATGTCAATAATATATATTTCATTATGATATTATTGTAAAGGTTGTTTTCATTTCTAACCGAAACTACAGATATACTATGCCCAAAACTGACTGAATATTGGTAATGCCTGGATCAATGTAATGGCTAGTTTCGTTTTTTCAGTTAAATTTATAAGTTCTTGTTTTTAATGAGTTAAACTTATTTTTTGTTAATTTATGTTGCAATTTCAGTTATTCACTTTTAGTTCTACAATTCCATTATAAAAGTGCTTTAGTTATTTAGTTTGGTATCGGAGCAATTTATGTGCTATTGATAGGTATTCTTTTTAATATCAATCAATAAAAATCAATTGGTGCATTGAGTTGTAGAATATGGCACTAGCAAATACCCAGATTGATTAGTTAGTCACTGTTATAAATCGAGAATCATTTATATTTATAACAGTGACCCTAAAAAAGGATGCACCATAAACATCTATGATTATTCCGAAACTGTCCCAAGTAGCACAAAACACCATTATATCAAACTTATGATAGCACGAGTCCAAGCGTTAAGCATCATAATAAAATCGTATATCAACCGTATTTCTTTTAAACGACTCTTATACGTAAAATTTGGGCCCCCCCTTTGTACGACTTTAAGCTTTATAAAAGCTGTGCAATAGCACTACAACTTTTGTATAATAGCATTAATAAAGTCGGGTAAAAGCATTCTAATAGCCACAAAAAGTTCAATTAGCCCCTTAAAGTGCTAATTGAACTTTTTGTGACTATATTACAATTGATATGCGTAAATCAAAATTATAATACGTTAATTTAATGTTCCAAAAATGCTTACTGTTTTATTTCCTTTGTAAAAAAGTATATTTAATAGATTTTAAAGTATATATAATCGGTTTAAGTTATTGTTTTGTGTAAGTGTCATGACATGTTCTCTTGGCTGGTCTTTTAAGTATTTTTTAATATTGATTTAAACAGCTCGTTATGTGTGAAATAAGCTGCAAACATCAGTTTGTGGAGTAAAATATACAAGTTTATGGTGTAAAATACACGCGCCTTCGCAAACTTCATTTAATACAATAAAAATAATAGAAAATTTAATCTAGTAGCAAAAATTTTTGTTGAATTTTAGGCTTTTTAGCATTGTTTTAACAACAAAATTGCTTTTATAGGCATCTGTGCACAAAATAAATGATTATTTACCCCTTTTCATCTGACACAGTTGACTTTAAATATTTTGTAAGAATTGGAAAAAGAAAGCAAATGGCGACTCGTAAAATTAAAGCATAAGGTATTCAAATATAGTGTAGTAGAGCTGTTAATCGTATTATGATTAGACACAAAACAAAGAGCTCGTAATTCATCGTATAACGCACTCCCATTTTAGATACAGCCGTATTTTAACACTTCAGAAGTATCTTATAGTGCTTATAATCATCAAACGATTATTTCATTTTTTTTAATTTTTAAAAATTTCATTTAATTTAGTATACTCTTTTTTCAGTTTTCTTTTATATCCACCTGTTTTCTTTGTTTTTCCCAACCTTTTTTGTCCATGGCGCCATCGATGCGTATAAAATGCCACCATTACAATACAATACATAAAATAATTTTACATTTTAATTTCAAATAAAAATAATTACGATCTATTTATTACTTGTATCTCTATAAATAACTTAATATTGATCAAAATATAGCCTAATGTTTGATAAAAGCATAGATTAAGAAGATAAAGGAGCTTGAGCTTGATTAAAGAATACTTTAAGAACAAATCGGTGCTAAAGTTTTACTAGTTCTTTATTCAATGTGTTTATAGGATAAGCATTAAATCGATACAACCATAGGCCATTAGAAAACCTTTGTTTCTAGAAAATGACTAAATACAACTAAGTGCACCAAATAATATTACGTTAATGCTTATATAATATATAATGTTTTTTATATCACCGAAATACGATAACAGCTTTATATTAATATTACCCAATACTTAAATAGGAGTTTTGACATTGGTATACTTTTTTTATTAACCATAATATGGCATTAAGCATTATTAGATAAAATAAATGCCTTTAACCAGATTCGAAACTTAACCAGTGCTGATTAAAAATGTTAGTATGACTTGAGGACATAAATCGGTACTTATTTTAGTTAATATATTATTTATGTGCTACTTGGGGTGGGACACCTCTGTTTGTCCAAAACTGAAGATTTCGGAAAATTTCGAAAACATCTAATAATTTGTTAAAATCATATACTTGAAAACTATTTGAATCAGAGGCAGTGTCAGGTCCAACCTCCGTTGCATCATATATTATTATCAACAGTTTTGTTTCTTTGGAGTCGTATTAGCGTTCGACATTAGACGTTATCGGAGAATGAGAGTACGCCTTCTAACCCGGATTATTAAAATACTAATTGACACATACCGTCCTAAATGGTGCAATACTGCATAACTAAAATAAATAAATTTATGTAATATAAAATTTGGGTAGATGAGGTGGATGCCGCGATCTTGTCTCTTATTGCTACTCCGTTAAAAACAGCCTCGAACTTGATATCGAGCTTGCTGCTGTGACAGCATAGAGATTTAATTAAAGAAAACTTTTATTGACATTTTGAAGTATTCAATAGAGTCTCTATTGATCGTATTATCTGATATTATAAAGTTGCGCTAGACGTCGATTTTGAGGCTGTTATTTTAACATAATAGCACTGTCTTAAAACCCCAATTCAACCATTCTATCAAAAGGAGGTTCTCCCACAAAAAATAACATAACTGCAACTTTCTATCGCCAGATTGGAGCACTAGCACATCTAGTAAACAGTGTTTTATTATAAATGTCAACGACATTTATATTTACAGTGTAGTGAGCAAACAGAAAGGCAATAGTGAGCATAGTAGGTATTCCATATCTAGCACATGTAGTAAACAGTATTTCATAAACTTCAAACGACATTAACATTAACAGAGTAGTGAGCAAACAGGAAGGTAATAGTGAGCATAGTAGGTATATCATATTTTTAAACGAGTGTAATTTTTTACAATAATATACCTTTGCGGCACATTTGGATTGTAAAAAGGAAGGAAATTATTCATTTCCAAAAGATAAAATGTTGAAAAATTGTTTTTTAATTATATGTACTAGTGCTGCCATCTACGCAGAGCTTTGTCTTTGTCTTAACTAACAAGGGGGAGTAAAACAAATCTCTTATAATAATTTAATAAATTATATTGAACAATACACAAACGCTACTATTCACACACATCAAATAAATTAATGAGGTTAAATATGTCTAAAACGATAATGTTCTATTATTGTCTCGTTCGTAATACACTACGAGTTTTACAGCGACGCTTCGTTGATCACCGTTATCAGTCTGTTGTTTGAGTTATGGCACTTTTTGTTATTCCACTTTATTGATTTCTTGGTGTGGTTCTCTGGCGAGCTCTGATCGTTGATGGCGGACGGTTGCGGCGAGTTTGACACCACTATTGACCATCGACGACTTCTGCGCTCGTTCAGGTTCGGCAATTCTGCTATCAGGTTGTTCTCGTACTCGCTGAGCATCAAATAGTTCTCGACCTGCAAAGAGTAATTATTAGAAAGTTTTTACGGACCGAAATGGAAGACGGATGGAGATATTTATATCTACCCTACTAATTTTGCATCAAATATCAATTACAATTGTGTCTATCTCACCCACATCAAAATATAATTCGATAAGTCCATAAAACGTAGCATGTGTTACGAACTGGCCAACTAACCGGCACATGTTAAATAATTTAATTTCTTTTTATTTACCTTAAAAAGAAATTAAAATAATGTTCACACAATAAGTCGCAGATCCGGCTCGAAGGACCAGAAATATAAAAGATTGTATAAATAAAGAAGGGATAAATATACAGTAGGTAACATCGCGAAGCGAGCAGCAAAGCAACATAAAGATGATGGTGTCAAGTTGCTTTTTTTCTGTTGTCTTGCAGAACAAAAAGACTTTAAAATAAATTAAGTCTGTTTACACAGTCTCGGTTTAATTGTCAACGCGTAACAGCATGCATATGTTAAAGTAAAAATGTAAAAACTACTAGATTATAATCCAGTCGAAAAATTGTGATCTGTAAACACACACAGCTTACAATTTGACTATGTATAATCTTTCGCATTCAAATCGTCGAATTATGTGATTGTATGTAAGGAACTCAGCTCGCGTCTTGATTGCTTGAATTTCATGTGCCTCACGTCGCTATATTTATCTATTCATAAGTAAAGCGTCAAATTGTGATCAGTATATAACAGATCTCAATTCATCGACAGTACGAATTTTCATGAGATATAAGATATTATAATCTAACGTTTTTTACCAGCAGATAACTAGAAATGTATAGGATTCTGTAACAATCCAGACCCGAATTCGAATTCACTCGTGTCATTTAGTATAGACATTCTTAGGTTCCATTTTTTGTATAAAAATACAAAACAAAATTGATTGAATATCCGTGTCTCAGATATTCTATTTCGATATAATTTCGAAACTCACTTCACTTATACCATGAAACGTTATTACCAATTCATGGTTAAGCGTATGCCGCTTTTTGGAGTAAATCCGGACACCTGGGTGAATTCGAATTCGGGTTTGGATTTTTAAAGAATCGCAGGGCAGGTCGGAACCGTCTTCCTCGCTGATGTAGGTAAGATGAGATAGCCGAAATGGCAATACTATGTACGAGTAAGTAGTAGAACATCACTTAAATACAGCTGGTAATATACGCCCGGGACAGTTCAGATCATCCAGCTCACGGTCAATGTGGAGGTCCAGGTCGAGATGACCCTTCCGGTGATGCAGGTGCTAGCTAATTCGTAGTTCTGTGAGGATTTGGTCGAACATTACCTTATTACAGCTGGTGATACAATCCCCGGCGCAGTCCAGGTCGTCCAGCAGATGTTCCGGTATGTCGAGGTCCAGGTCCAAGTCGAGGCCACCCTCCTCGCTGATGCAAGTGAGCTCAGGCGGGGCGCCAGCGGGGGGAGAACCCAGACTACCGGGCCCGATGCTGTCCACCAACAAATCTCTACCGTTCCTTCCTGGGACAACCAATTCTCTTCCTAAAACTAATCGTTTAAGTTTGTACTTTTCGATTAAGAAAACTGTTTTAAGATATCCGATTCCTGTTAATCTAACTACTTTATAGGAATATTTTGATAAGGATACACAGATAGGTCATGTGCATAATGTACCTAGATCATCAACAAAATTTAATTAATCCAAAATTTGTTTCGTTTTTGGAAAACATTATTTTAGACCGAATCAGTTTGGTATTAAACTATTAAATAAAAACAGGGATTCATCATTGAGAATTATTTTAACTTTAATATTCAGGTTTAAAATTTAAGATCACGGGTCTTATATTTGAGAGTTTAGAGTAGGTATCGGATATTGGGCGGCTTATATCGATAGACCCGTATTCTTTGTAGGATTTTGCTGGGACATTGCTACACTTCTTGTCATTTCATCATCAGCCCTTATACGTCGCCACTGCAGAGGTTCAGGCCTTATTGATGGTTAAATTATTGTCAACTGCAAATCCAGCTGGGACTAAAGGTTTAACGTGCCTTCCGAAGCACGGAGTAACAATTTTTTGGTCACCCACCCCGTGACCGACCCCCGCGAAAGTTGCTTAATAACAACGACAGCGGACCGTTCAACTTATCTACTAGTCCATCGAGCTACTAACTACTTTTCATTTATTAAGCCAATTATTTAGTTTACAGCAAGGCTGGATTATCTGGATTGGCTTGTCGGGCTTAAGCCCAGGACTCGCGGATACAAAGGGCCCTCAATCCCCCCATTAAAACGATACGGTACTTTTACATTAGGAAAACAGTTTCTAAATAAAATTACATTTACTTCAATATTTAATAGGCCTCTGGCTAGTATTAACCCAGGGCCCCACAAATTCAAGATCCGCCCCTGGTTTACAGTCTACATAAGATTTGATTACCTAACGTTGCGGCAGCGCCGGTACCCGCGCGTGGATCACGCTCGTGGCTGCGACTGCGTACCGACGGACCGCACGCCGATTCGCACGTACCGCCATTTTCTCTGAAAACACATGTAGATAGCCGTTATTAACAACGAAAAACCGAATTGCAAATGTAATCGTGTGGCCTAATTTTCATATTTAAAATCTATCGCAGTAGCTTTCAATTGTGATATTTTTCGAATCATTAAAAAACGCAACCGCTTTTGGGAGAAATGATGATTTGAATGATCAAGAGACAATAGAAACTTAGTAACTTAAAGGAGTATTTATATCTAAGGAAAGTGGCCTTAGAAAATTATAATTAGCGTTGAATTATTACCTTTCATATTATGTCATATTATTATTATACTCATATTATGAATGAAGTCAGAATAAAGTATAACTTAAGTATAACTAGTCGGTTAGTTTATCCAGTCAGTGTAACTAGCTGTTTTCGCAACTTTGCTCGCGTAAATTATACTTAGCATATTATATAGGTTCAGTGGCGTAGCGTGTCTTGGCGGGGCCCTGAACATAAATTTGTTTGAGAGTCCTTGTAAAGGGTAAAAATTTTTTAATAAAGAAAAAAAATTACATCGAATATTGTGGGAGCATGCGATAACCGATGCAGGTTGTTCCCACCTTTGAAACGCACGGTTTATGCGCGAAAAAAATAGTTTCTTTTTACTTTTATCATGTCTGAAATAAAAATAAATTTGGGAAGTTTATTTTTTTATTTTTACTTACTTTACTTACTTTTTACGCACATTGGGTCCCCGTATAATTGATACGGTAGAGGCGATAATTACGCCCCTGTGTAGGTTCCCATTGGTGAAAGAATTTAAAAAGGTAAGAAAATTCACCTCTTTTTATTAGTATAGATTTTCCCGATTTTCGAATGTTAATATCTTTATTGTGAAAGTAGATCATTCAATTTGTATTTCTTTTTTTGTCAAATTTGACGTAAACCTTAACTTTGAATGCTATTATGGTGCAATCTAGCCGTTTGCTAAAAATCTACCTTACAAGAGAAGTAGATTTTTTTAGAAAGACGCTTACTTGGTGTGTTTATGGGCAACACTGCGTCGATGCAGGTCTATACAGAAGAGAGATAGCGATCCTATGAGAGAGCACGTCGAGCTGAAATAGTATCCTGCTTTACCGCCACACCCGACGTTTATGTAACCTGAAAATATGAAATTTAAGAAACATTTTAGAGCATCAATTTATAGGCATGGCAATGAATGTATAATACAAATACGGCGAATGTGTATTATACGAATGAGGACAATTCTACTTCCCCTAACCTAGTACAGGTAACTACGCGTCAGACTAATACAGTCCAATTTCTTCACTTGATTTTAAACCGCAATGCTTTGAGGGTAGAGGTCAATATCGATTGAGGAAATTCACATATTGTGGTAACCTGAGGTGCAACCGTGTATACCACAGGTAGAATTCTTACCTGGCACTCGTGTTCTAGGGATGTTAACTATGAGTTTTTAAATGCAAACGCCGTTGAGATGCATTATGCTAAGTTCCCAGCAGGCTTATTCGCAAACTCAACTGGCAGCTTAAAGTGGTAATTACCGTAAAAAGTGAACAATTCCTGTGCCAAAATCACTTATTCTTATGAGCGCTTGCCCATAGAGCTACGTGAACAATTTATTTCGGTCTTCGTCTGATTTACAGAATATGGGGTTTTGCAAAACATGTTCCATACCCTTGGCAGCTGATTAATTTTATAATGATGAAGTATTTCAAAATAAAAAGAAAGCACCTCCACTAGAGGGCGACTCTAGCAAAAGATGATTTCTGCAGGAAAGGAGATAGTAATTTCCATTCCTTTTAACTAACATATTAACAAACTGAAATTTGCTCAGTTCGAAACTAAGATATCAATACAAATACCAAAAAGTACAAATTGAACATGTATTTATTGAGTTTTGAAAACTAATTTACTTTTAGACATGAAAGAAAACCGGAAGGGTTGTCATCGAGAAATCAAGAAAGTACCGTAGCGACATCTAGTTTGATTTCGGGAACCAAATTTTTTTAAATACTTCCTCATTTGTCTGGGTAAAGATGGCGTATTAAATAAAGCTTTACCTGACAGCGGCACACCAATCGCTATGGGCACAGCCTGCGAGCATTGCACGAATCCCCAAGTACGGGCGAAGTTGCGCGAACGCACCCTTTCGTATGTGTACATTTTCAATGAGTAATGGTACCCTCCACAGAAAATACCTAGACGGTAGAAAGAAAAAGCGTAAACTTAAAATATTGCTATAAGATGTACCGCTAACCCCATGTGCGGAGATTAGTATGCCTTCATAGAAATAATTCAATAAATCCTTTTTGTCGCCTACTGAGGAGCGTTCTGTTTTCTATGTTCTCAAAAATTATCTTGTTGCTATTACTATTAAATTATTATGTTATCATTGTTAGACCATAGATTTTTTCTCTCTATTTATAATGTATTGATCTGGTAATGACATGGTTTTTTGAATGTCATTATTCCTATTAGAGCTGGTGAGTTTCTTGCTCGTTCTTCTTATCAGCCAAAAGAGGCCCTGAACGAATGGTAGGGAACGTTGATCCTTAATAAGAACGACATATATATGTTTATTTGAAGATAAAGATTAGATACTTAGGTTAAATTACCATAGACCCATGCGAACATAACATATCCTCGGTAAGAGCCTTCAACAGCAGTCAGCGCCATGGTTGCCAACCCACATACGAATACAGCTGCTTGTGTGAGGTACTGGCGTGCTATACGGCATTCCGCAGAGTTTTGTCTCACCAGCAGACCGAATGCTGCACATCCCACTGCCCATGCTAACCCAAGATATGCCTGGAGAAGTTCCGCTGTATCCCCTAGACCTGTAATGTATATTTTATGTCATTTGCGTAAGAATTTGTATGGAAATTTGTAGTGATTTTTAGTTACTTAGTTACTGCTATGCCGGTTTCCATACTAAATACTTATTGCACTCACGATGGAAGGTGAACGTAAACGTCAAAAACTTACACACGTATCTATAGGTGAAGAGAAGTAATTCTAGTATCTAAGTAAGTCTAAGAAAATAACTTAAACATTTTAACCAATAGTTGAGAATTTGGATCTTCTTTAGAAATATGTATTAGCTGTTGACAGTTCTTACTTCATTCAAATTCTCATCTAGTGGTCAAAAGTATTTGCTGAAGCTTGTATTACTTCTACTCAAGTAATTACTTTTACTCGACTATAGATACGATATAATCTCTCTGGAAATTTATTAGAATCATGGTCTCCTTATTTACTTACATTGTGATGTGACAATGGTTTCATCTAGAAAAAAGACATTATTTACCAAACCGCTTGTATACTAAAATCGTAAACATCGTTAGATTATAATCCGTCTAGTCAGATTACATATTTTTTCTGTGCTCTTTCTGGTTGTGAATAAAAAAATCACGTTTGTTGTATGGGAGCCCATTAAATGTTTATTTTATTCTGGTTTTTAGTATTTGTTGAAGCGGCTACAGAACACGGTGTGGAACCCTAATTACCAGGATTAATATACGTGCCCAACTAATGTCAATTTTCGCGATTTCCGTTTATTTTGTGAACATGATGAAATGCTATTAACTATTTTTTAGCTTTTAGTACATACTTTAACATAGTCTTGTTGGTATTGTTTTATTTTATAAGTAACTTCGTTTGATAAGTTCTAATTTATATGTGATATTCTGATGAATAACCAACGTTTCAAAAACACGCTTTTATTTATTGCTTATTAATCAACAGGGACCCTTGTTTAGTTAAATAAAGACTTTCTTAACAGAAGCTATTAGGGTTTACGAGGTGTTTACGACCGGTAGGTATATATTTATATGACTTGTTTACCGACTTTGTCATGATAATTGTATTGCTGGGCCGTAACAATGCGAAGTAGGCCATTACTAGTTGCAAAATTAGGACATAAAAATGGATATTGAATATCGAGCAGCCTATTCGAGAAAGTTTTTCAATTAAAGCTTAATGAATTTCACCATATACTTAAATCCTTGAGAGAAATATCACTTTACTACGTAGGTGTGAATAGAACTGCGATCATATGGAATATCTTACGTTATTTATTATCCGAACATGTTAAAATTTACAAAATAATAATTTAACAGTTTAAAGATTGTTCTGCGACTTAGGAGTCTCTTAAAAGCAATTTTCGACATATCGTGAAATTCGACGATTTGTGTCCTACTACTTATTTAGCGTCTTTTGTTATCATTACGGTTGCAAATAAATTACATCTTTGAGGTAAGATAGGAACTAACATCTCGTTATACAATACAATTATATCTGGCTAGGTGCCTGTTGTCCATTTTTACTAATTGCTTAGTGTCGCTAGGTGGCTCCTTGTAAATGGTTAACTCATTTTCTCCTTAGGGGATTCCTAAATATGTAGGCGTCAGATTTGGGTGACGCCTAAGTTTAGTGAAAATGAATGAGTGACCGTAGTCTGCTTACCTTCTTCTTCAGCATGATACGCCAGATAGAAAATAGGTGTATTTATTCCAAACGCTGATATTCCAGTAGACATTAGTAGAATCCTAACTGTCTTGGACTTGAGCGTCGAGAAATCGAAGAAAGGCTGGCGGTCGTCAGATTTGTTCCTGTCCTTCATCTTCCGTTTGATTTTATTCTGATTCTTGAGGTGAAGTATTGCGCGTCTTTGCGGATGATACAGTGAGGCGGAACGGTAAAATGTACCTAGTATGAATGTGACGAATACAACTCCCGTTACTGCTTGTAGACCTAAACGCCAACCAATTGCCCTGGAAAAACATATTCAGCCCTACATTCTAAAACTGGCTAAGTGGTAGTGGGTCTTGCGGAAGGGCTCAACTATAAAAGCGCAAAAAAATTCATTTATTGTATGGCAGATAAGTATTAAAATACACCATCTGTAATTATCACAGATCGTGATAAATACCTAACAGCATAGTACGAAAGACTCGAGAAACGCTTTGACAAAACGTCACTTTCCTCGAGTGGAGAGTGAGATATCGTATGGGCTCACCCGCGAAAAGTGATATTTAAACAGACGGACGGATAGCGGAGTCTTAAAAATAGGGTGCTGTTATACCTTTTGGGTAAAAACTAAAAATGTTTAAAAATGCAGTTGTTCCAGGTGCAAAAGTTGCATTGACTTGTCACTTTATTTTTTATTATTATAATTTTAGTCTTCAGTGCTTATTTCATCAAAAGTGGAGCTGGGTGGCGCAGTTGTTACAGTGTCCTAATTGCGTCAGCGGAGGTTGACAAATTGTCGCAAAGGCAGGATATCCAATGGGTGTATCTCGAGTTCTATGCTTTAGAAGCTTTAGTGGGCTCTGTGCTTTGCAATAGGCTGTGAGTATGGTATATCTGCTTTTGAGACGTAAACACCTCCCAATCCGTACCGCGTGGAATGGCCCATTCTACCCATGTGATGCCATCTAAATGTAAAACCTGTACCGCATTAGTGGGGATATTAATAGCCTGGAGACAATTTTTTCAAGGTAAACCTCTGCAATAGAAATTAAAAACATAAAAAAATTGATCATATGACTGTTTTCCTTAGGCGTTAATACCTGATAGCTCCTTTGATGAAGGTAGACATGACGGCGATACCGAGTCCGCTGCCGCTCACTATGAAGATTTCGACGAGCTCTCTTCGCCTTTTGAAATACTGTGCTACCATCAGTGTCGAACAGTCTCGTGTAAGTCCAACTCCGACACCTACCACCGTCCCTGTGAAGTTTAGACAGATATTAATGCTTCACTACCGCTACCGTCAGTATTTAAAGACATCAAAAACGGGGAATTATAAAACGATCGACTAAAAAAGAACTTAGCGACTGATGATGGCATACTGTTTTAATAACTTGAGTGTTATGAATTTGAGTAAGCGGAAAATTAACTTAACCAACGACGAATATTGATTAATGATCAATTTCAAAACGAGCTTACAAAAAGTGGGTTATGTTTAATCCATTTTAGATATTATAATTTTGTCCATGCGACTACATTACTAAGTGAGCGACTAGATATATAAAGAGAGCAACTATAATATTAAGATAGATTAGATTTTTTCCAACTGAAGTTTTTCCCAACGAACTACTAAAAAGTTCACTTTAAGCAAAGTTTTGTCTGCTGCATTATAAATGCATTGGTTACTGTTGGTTTTTATTTTGATATGATTTCTTAATGAAATAGCATCTAATCCGACCAAAAAAAGTATATTTAATTTGCAACAAACTTTCGAAAGATTTAAACTGCACTGATAGCTTATTATAATTATTTTTATATGAGCTCATAATACTATGTTCATTGTTGTATTTTTCAAAATGATTTTTGTATTTGAAACACTTTATATAAGATAGTATGCCGCGCAGTAAAAAAAAAAAACATTTGCCAAATATTGATAACAATGCAGGACTTAACGTTGGCGCTCAAACAAATATTAGGTCGTTCAAATATTAAGAAGCATCTCATTGTGTATTTTAAGTAACTCAAATTAATGTTTGTAAGTTGCTGTTCTGTTGATTTCTCATCTTCCGCAGTCAGTCGCTCACTTAGTAATACTATGACATAAATTAATTATATTTGACACTTAAAACTTTACAGTCACTCATTTTAATACTACCCATCAAAACAGTTTATATATAAGGTACTGTTTCTAATCATTCCATTCTATTTGACCACTGGTAGCCGAGTAGCTTAGTGGCGTAGTGACTAAGCGCCGCCGCCTGCGATCGTTGTTGTTAAGCATCCTTCGTAAGGCTCGGTCACGGGTTGGTGACCAAAAAATTATTATCTCGAGCTATTATTTCGTGCTTCGGAAGGCACGTTAAGTTCCGGCTGCATTTGTTGTCGTTAATATACTCCAAACTGTATTGGGCCAGCATGGGAGGTCATGGCCCTTGCTCTATAACTCCTAACTTAAGTGCTAAAAAGTCAATTATAGCTTCAATTATGGGTCGCACCGACTGATTGTAAGGATGGAATAATGAAATTAAACCCGATTTCATTTAAATTTTTAGGACTCCAATGGCTAGAAATAGTCTGACTATATCTTATTAGACAACACCATTCACATTGCTCAGATTCCAAGTTGAGTAGTACACAATGAAGCCCTATTGTGGAAATTTAATAATAAAGGAACAACACCCAGACCTAAACAATATAAACCAGTTAATTTTTATATTGACGCTTTGGCGATGCATTGAAATCGGCTGTAAGCAACTCGGCTTCGGAGGTTATTAGAAGTTAAACCGCAACTTTGCAACATCCTTCAGACAGAGGTTTATTTAGAGTTCCGTGATTTTCAGTGTGGTTCAAATGGACCCTAAGGATTTTGGCATATGGTAGCTTGGCGCCTATCGAAGCAAGTATGAAACAATTTGAAAGTAATCTAAAGTGATCTACGAGAAAAGAAAGCTTGCCAACAATTTAGACGAAGGATTGAGTAACTACGAAAATAATTATGTGGAATGGGGATAATTGCAATGAATAAGTACATAAGTATTTTAAATATAAAATTGATTACCAGCTTAATGTTTTCAGACCGAAATTAAAGGGAACGATTCCGTTGAATTATCTTTCTAATTCAACGGAATCGTTCCCTTTAATTTCGGTTGACACATTGTTGCAAAGGCAGTAAGTATATCGAATGGGTGTATTTCGAGTTCTATGCTTCAGAAGCTTGAGTGGGCTCTGTGCTTTGCAATAGGCTGCAAGTATGGTTTGTCTGCTTTTGAGACGTAAACACCTCCCAATCCGCACCGCGTGGAATGGCCCATTGAATTTGTTGAATTAGAAAGATATATGGCAGTATATAAAATCCAATATTCGGTGAATATTTTATAGTCTGCGTAAACGGATATAAGTTTACTACATACATGCTAATTTCCCGCGTAAATTAGAGCTTATAAAATTCTTGTATAATGTTTCATGTAGTTGAAAGTATTATCATGATCGAATTAGTACGAGGGTCAAACTGAAAGTTCTTAGAACTGGCCACTTATAAACAATATAATAAAAAAATAATTCTAAAATTTGAAAATATAACTCTTTGCCAATATTACTGAGTATATATTTCATTCATTTGTCATTTGTTTTACGATTTGGCGGCAAATTGAAAATTGTCTGTGTCACGTCATCATGAATTTAACACGAGAAAATTTTCGTGCAATGATTTTTTATGACTTTCGATGTCATTTAAGTCAACAAGAAAGTTATGATAGACTACGATTGGCCTTTCACGATGAAGCCCCATCTCGTGCGACTGTTTACAACTGGTTTAATGAGTTTAAACGTGGTCGCACTAATCTCACTGATGATTTACGTGAGGGACGGCCTTCTACGGCGACGACTGAAGATAACATCTGTGTTGTGCGGCGTATGATAGAGACTGACAAAAGAGTGACCTATCAACAGATTCGGACAAGCTTAGGCATCGGTATGAGTCAAGTGCACAAAATCCTCCACGAACATTTAGCGGTCAGGAAGCTTTGCGCCCGGTGGATACCTCATAATTTGACTGAGGCTCAAAAACTCCATCGTGTGGATTGGTGTCGTAAAATGATTGAAAGATTTAACGGAGGTGACTCAAATGCTGTGTTCGACATACTAACAGGTGACGAAAGCTGGATTTACTGTTATGATCCTAAAACCAAAAGACAATCTGCTCAGTGGGTGTTTCCTTTCGAGGAGTTGCCAACTAAAGTGAAGAGAGATCGAAGTGCGGGAAAAAAAATGGTGGCCTCGTTCTTTGGAAGGATAGGTCATTTTGCAACAATTGTGTTAGAGGATCAAAAAACAGTTTCTGCAGAATGGTACACTACCAATTGTTTGCCACTTGTCTTGGAAAAAGTTCGAGAGAAACGACCTCGCAGTAGGATCCTCCTTCACCACGACAACGCCTCGTCGCACACCGCCAAGCGAACGATCGACTATTTGGCGACATCAAACGTTGAATTATTGGGTCACCCGCCGTATAGCCCCGACCTCGCGCCTTGTGATTTTTATTTATTTCCAAAAATTAAAGAAAAACTTAAAGGAAAGCGGTTTATGAATGCTGAAGAAGCGGTGGCTGCGTATCGCGATGCCATTGAAGAGACCCCTAAGGACGAGTGGGCAAAGTGCTTTTCCCAGTGGTTCCATCGCATGCAGCGGTGTATTGACGTGAATGGACAATATTTTGAAAAGATATAATAAAACTAATAACTGGCTAATGTAATCAGTTTTTGATTTTCTAAGAACTTTCAGTTTGACCCTCGTATTTCCTAAGATTACCTTTACGAATGAATAAACAAAGTTAGACACTTTACCTGTTTATGTTATTATTAGTATAGATATATGAGTGAGTAACACCTTGTAGCCGGATATAGCTTAACAGAATTCGCGAGGGGTATATATGTACATAACAAATGTGACGTACAACAAATCATCACTCACCTCGCAACGTAGTCTATATGAAAATTGATGATAATACATTATATCTACTGTCGAAGGTATATATTTCTTACTTATGACTTGTTTCCTTTCTTATATAACAACTAATGAAATTATATTTGTGAAATGTCGAATAACAACTTGGCACGAAATCTTGTAGGTACTCACATTTACAAGCAGATACGAGTAGGTAATAAACTAAGTGTATAAAAAATCTCCAGACCACCTATGAGTTGTCATCAACATTAGCTGCGATCATACGGACGAATTATCACACACAAATCTATTCTGTGTGTCCTGTTGGCGTCATAATGGAAGTATTTGATTTTAAAAATATCTATTACTCAGATAGACGGGACCGTTGTTTTAATACTAATGAGAAATTACAATTTATAGAGTAGGTAGAAAAATACGAATAAAAATATTTTTCATACATTTCTACCTTCTAATAGGGAATATGCACATTTTTGGAAAATGTTTTTAATTGATAATTTACATCGATATATAACTGTAAAAAATACCCGGCACCGAAAAACTAACATTTTGTAACATTAATAATTGATGAAAATAAGTAATAGCTACGAGCAGTTTAAGCACCGGAATTTTTGGCGCGTTTGTCGTGACGTTAAAGTACACGACTAGAGATATGACATTTTAAATCAATATGGATTTTGAGAGATTGAGCATTATTCAATTACCTAAATCGATTAGCAACTAGTCGGTTTTTAAAATGTAATAGACTTATTTAATAACTTATATAGTTTACCAAATTAGTGAAATAAAAATAAAAGCCTAAAACATCATTTAAACTGTAACCTGTTGTTTATTTTGCGACTTATTTACTTTTTGTAACAACGACATCCCTATACGTGTACATTTTCGTCACATCCGCTTTGACATGTAGCACGGCGTTTGAATATTTTGAAGTGACCGCATCTTTTTTTGCACTTTTTAATAATTATTTTAAAGACGAAAACAAACTGATGTTGAAAAATATTAACATAGACTTTATTCTAAAACAATAATGATCGTAATAAAATATATTTAAGCCTTTTTTGGGTCAAACACATATTCCCTATTGCATTTGTAAATTCCATGAGAGTTAGCTCGTAAGTAGGCAATGAATATCCCGTCCTAGAGATGCATTTTAAAATGTTCACAATGTCATTCTCAGCACGAACGTGGGCAATTGAGACAGTTTAGCAGATTCCGTAGAAGTTGTTTCCATTTGCCTTCAAACGGTTATGCAGTAATGCATTTTAATGTTGAAACTGTACAAATAAGGTGCTTAAAAT